GCCTTGTAACACTATGGATACCACTTCTCTTTCTAAATTTTTCAAACCAGCCCCTGCTTGCCTTAAACTCTTTCTTATCGATCTGCATCACTCGTTGCAGGGGTATTCTTTAGAAGGTCTTCGTGCAACACCCTGGCTTTCTCACAAATAATGGCCTCCGAAACACTATCACCCCTCAACTCCTTGTCGTGTATCCAAATTAATAACAACTTTTCCACTTCTTCAAGTATTTGTGGTCTTTGTGCCGTTAATGTTCTTACTCCTTTTGCCACTTTAGCACCCATAATCTTATTTTTCTTCTTAAGTATAGTGCATATTGTTGATGTGGCTTTGTTGTACTGCCTACAAAGTTCAACAACACGTGTACCGTTCTCATGCTTCCGAATGATCTCTTGTTTCTCCTCTATTGTCATCCTCACATGAGCTTTCTGGCCTTTATCCTTACCACTGGCTTTCTTGGGACCCATGGTGAGATATATAATAACAAATTGTATAGACAAATCACCAAAAATCCAACAAAACACTGAAAATCCGCGAGAAGAATTGATGTGGGGGTAGTCACTGAGCGCGAGACAATAATAAACTGAGGGGCGGAGGGGCGACGAACGCGCTAGGTCGGCTGTACGCGTATCAACAAACTCGCGTCCAAACTCGCCTCCCGAAGTAACCCTCGCCTTCTGAGACAAATTTTTGGAGTAAATACACCTCGCCTTCCGAAAACCTCGCATACAGGGACAATCGCATTCCGAGGTACCACTGTAGTAGTCGGGTTCGTTCTCAACACACCATCGAAAATTTTGGGTTCGAATCCCGGGCGGGACAGAAATGGAAGGCACATTTCAGTTCACCTAATACACCTGTTCACCTACCAGTAAGTAGGTACTCAGGAGCAGTCCATAGAATTACCCAAATCTACCCAAATCCACCCAAATCCTACTAGCATTATGTAAGTAATGAAGAAATGTGGTATATTTACTCACTATAATGTTGATGCTGAATGCAGAACATCATCACACCTATATTTACTCTGACATAATCTAATTTCATAACAAAATTAGAAGTAAATATGTAGCAAGTGACGCCATAGGAAGTCAACGGTCCAAGCGGCAATGTTGTGTAGCAACTTATTCAAGATATATGGTCACCTGGAGTGTGTTTGCTGCCAATATCAGCCTCCTGTACACAGTGATCTAGTCATCGCACTTCTTTGCTCAAATTGTCGCAAATTTAATTGGTGATATTAACAAGTAGAATGCGTATTTATAATAATATCTTTCATAAATAGCAATGAAATATTTATTATTTATTTAAAAAAAGTGTCTGGAAGTTAAATCAACTCCACAGGACAATAATTTTGTTATATAGATACTAACGTTATTCGCTGGAATGCGTTCGCTATTTAAACTACTCATGACCTTTTCGTTCATAGAACACTGAACCCTACACACACTCTGATATATTGCTTAATTAACCCTTAGACAGCACAATACATATACAGTGGCACCTCGACTTACGATTGGCCCGACTTGCGATAATTTTGAGTTACGGTGTAAATTTGATTGAAAAATGCGACTCGACTTACGATAATGTCGTTGACTAACAATATTTGTTGGTACACGTTTGGGTCGACCGAGCACATGGTTCCTGGTCACACGAGCCAACCTTCCTCAGTTTACTATAGCTGCCCACTTAGTGACGATCACACAATAAGAAATTCCGTTTTTGTGGCGATTCTTTGCTTTTTGAACATAAAACTGATTTTATATATCATACCATGGGTCCCAAGAAAGTCAGTGGTAAGGTTCAACCTAGGAAAATAGTTGTGAGTAGAGGCAGTAGAGGATGTCCCTTCCTCATTAAGAAATGTGTGAAGTATGGGAAGAACTGCAAAGTTTTGTTAAAAAAACTTACCCAGATAAAGCTGTAGCAGGCCATTGCATTGACCTTTAAATGACAATGTGATGTCTTACTACAGACAAGTGTTAAAATGTAGGGAAAAGCAAGTGTCTTTAGACAGAGTCTTAGTAAGACAAGCAAGCAAAGAGCCACAAGCAGGTCCTAGTGGTATGCAGGCAAAACGTGCCAGAGTGTGTATCCCAGAAAAGTTGTTGTTGTTGTTATAGATTCAGCTACTTGAAACAAGTTCCAAGTAGCAAGGGGTTATGGTGAGCCCGTAACTTGCCTGGCACAGGAGCGGTGCCGTCTGGGGCCAGAAAAGTCATCACTGCCTGATGTTATAATGGAAGAGGACTCCCCTTCCAAACAGTAACACCTCTCCTCATCCCCCATCCACACCATCTTCCATACACCATCAAGAGTCCTCCATAAAGGTAAGATAAACATATGTACTGTATTGTAGTTAGAGAAAAAAATTGTATTCAGTATAAAATGTATTTGTAAGTTAATATTTTGGAGGGTGGGGAACGGATTAATTCAATTCCCTTTATTTCTTTAGGGAAAAATCACTTCGACTTACGATATTTCGACTTACGATACGTCTCTGGGAACGGATTACCATTGTAAATCGAGGCCCCACTGTATAGATGATTTGAATAACATTACCGATACCGCTACCGATACCATTACTGTACCATTAGTGGTTCCAAGGGTTGTTATAGCCGGGGGAAAGGGTTGTAGAGATAAGCTCCCACATCCTGTAAAGTGCCCCTGATGGCATGCGTCTCAAATAGCCTCTGACAACCAAGTCCAGCTCCTGGCCTGCATATGTGGCTTAGCCTCTAGGTCCGGCGGAACTGCTTCTACCAACAGGAGAAGGACCTCTGGCGGGCCTCTGGCGCCTTAAAACTAGTTGCTTCGGGCAGATGGGACTCGTTAGCCTGGGAAGGCAACCCATCTAGGGGAAGGAAAATCCCAAATTCAAACCTCTGCTGCCTTGCGGCTAAACCCACTCATGGGAAAGGCTTTGGGAGTCAACCCTGAGGAAAAATCCAGAGTTGGAGTCCCTAAGGCAATTTGCAGCTGTTTACAGCTACATTCTGGCAACTACTGCGACAACACTGGTGCCAAGTGTATCGGCACCTTCCCTTCCCTTGGATCACATTGGTGGCGTGGAGAGGGTGGATCTGCTGCATGGGCAACAGCCGGTTCTCCATAATTACTGCCCAGGCCTGTGCCCTGAAGAGGACACTCCAGCATCGCCTTGGCGATGGCTCAACACGGGAAGCGACAGTTACCGGTGATAAGCCTACCACTCAATTGGCGTAGAGTGAGGTGCCAGGGGTTGCTTCTGTCAGTGGGAGAAATCATCCGATTTCATAGGACAGCTACCGCCCGCCTCAAGCTGGGCAGCTCCCAGCCAATAAGGTGTTGTCCAAACCACGGTCCGCCTGCTCCACTGGGTGCGTTGGGCTTAGGCCACAATCAATAAGCGAATCGTCAACCATGCACCAGGCAAAAGAAAACAAACACAGAGCCACCCAGCTCTCAAACTGAGTGGTGATTATTTACGTGATTATATATATTTACCATGTGGACAATTTTTAATGTAATTTTTTTCCCTGATATGCATGCTCTTTATTATGTTTCATATTGAGCCAAAGCCCAATACCTATGCCATACTGATGCTCTGTCCACAGATCATTCTCTCTCTCTGGGACCTCTGTTGTTTATAATATATATCAATGATTTAGATTCAGGTTTGAGTAGCAACATTTGCAAATTTGCCGATGATACAAAAATCGGCAGGGAAATTAACACGGAAGAAGACTCACTATCACTTCAAGTTGATCTAAATAGGGTTTTGAAATGGTCAAAGGATTGGCAGATGCAGTTTAATGCTGATAAATGTAAAGTTTTGAGGCTAGGTAATGATGATAGAGTTACAAGATACGAGCTAGATGGTGTTGAGATTGCGAAGTCGAATTGCGAAAGGGATCCGGGAGTTATGATAAGTAAGAATTTAAAACAAAAGAATCAATGCATGAATGTTCGTAATAAGGCAAATAAGACACTGGGATTTATTAATCGAAGCGTTAGTAACAAGACACCTGGTGTGGTTCTTCAGCTATATTTTGCTCTGGTTAGGCCCCATTTAGATTATGCAGTTCAGTTTTGGTCGCCGTACTATAGAATGGATATAAATTCACTTGAACGTGTCCAGCGTAGGATGACTAAGTTAATTCCCCAAATTAGAAATCTTTCATATGAAGAAAGATTAACAAAGCTTAAATTGCATTCACTGGAAAGGCAAAGAGTTAGGGGTGACATGATAGAGGTTTACAAGTGGATGAATGGACATAACAAAGGAGATATTAATAGGGTATTAAAAGTATCAACCCAAGACAGAACACAAAACAATGGGTATAAATTGGATAAGTTTAGATTTAGGAAAGACTTGGGTAAATACTGGTTCCGTAACAGGGTTGTTGATTTGTGGAACCAATTACTGCGTAACGTGGTGGAAGTGGGGTCCCTCAATTGTTTCAAGCGCGGGTTGGACAAGTATATGAGTGGGATTAGGTGGTTATAGATAGGAGCTGCCTCGTATGGGCCAATAGGCCCATACGAGGCCCATATGATGTATAATATACAATGTTTGTAATGTTCCAGCCTAATGTTTGTAAAACAAACGCACTCCAGGCGATCATATATCTTGGATAAGTTGCTCCACAACATTGGCGTTTGGACTGTTGACCTCCTATGGAGTCACCTGCTACATATTTACTTCTAATTTTGTTATGAAATTAAATTATTTCAGAGTAAAAATAGGTTTGATCATGTTCTGCATTCAGCACCAGCATTATAGTGAGTAAATATACCATATTTCTTTATTACTTATGAAATTCTAGCAGGATTTGGGTAAATTTGGGTAATTCTATGAACCCCTCTGGAGTTAGCTTGTTGTGGGGTTGCATCCTGGGTGGGGTCAGTAATTTGACCCTAGGGGGGGGGAAGGTACCTTGATATAAGCCTAACATGTACTGTATGTATACCCTGGATGCCTGTCCCCAGACATAATGATTTTTTTTTAATTTAAATACCTGGCGTGTGATGGAAGCCGAGCCACGTAATGTCTCCAGTTTAAGTACTTGGCGAAAAGCTTCGTGAGTCTAAACACTTGCAGCGGGTGCTGCGAGTCTCAACTGCTGGCTGGTGTGTGTAAAATGAGTCTAAACACCCGGCTAAAGTGCATGCCGTAAATCAAAACATTTGGCGTGCGTCTCCTGACACAAGTCTGTTCCTTGTTTACCTTCTATCCCTCTGTCTATACATCTTTCCAAAATAATAAGTTTCTGATATGTTGTCATCTCGGCTAACTACTTTACAATCATTGCACTTGATTCTTTGATGACATATGTTTTTCAGTCATTGTTAGGTACTAATAAGTTGTATTGAGGGAAAATGACGCGATGAAGGCAATGGTTGCACATCTTTGACCGAATATTGAATCCCTAATTTTAGATTATGGGAACGCCTAACGTAATATGTACACTTTTCCAGATATGTTTGTAATTTTTGTTGTCTTATACACCTATATTTATGGATTTTTGGGGATGAAACACGGTGTTATTGTTCAGTCAGTAGCGAGGAGTGTTCTTGGTCGGATGGTTCTCTCAGCACCTTGAGGTCTGGTCACAGAAACTGCCCTTGTGAGCCATTCCTGTCCCTTCTGTAGGTCAATACCTCACCGCAACACACCATGGACTTCAGCTACTTACTGGAGCTCGCTAAGGATAATGATAAGTTCAACAAGAAAGAGGTAGGTGACTGAGTCTGACCTGCTTTGCCACCCCCGCAACCTATTTTTGTTCCACTTCTTGCTCTAATGTCAAAACTCTTGTAATAAGCGTGCCCCCATGACGCTCCTACATCGTATTAAGCACGTTTGCACCCATGTTTGGTATATTGTTACCGTGCTGCGTTAATAAAAGTCATGAGTTCAATTATTCATGTTTAGTTCTTGTTGACATTTATGCAGCTTTCAGTTACTTGCGTGCTTAAAATATAATTTAAAATTATAGTAGGAATCGTTGATGTATCCAGCAGAGGATAAAGTTGCATGTTATGTTGGTCAAGTGTAACAATCATTGACACATGTATACACTCATTCATTGACATGTTCATTCATTCATTGACACACATGTTTATACATTGATACATACTATATGTACATTCATGCATACGAACGTCTAGACATCCAAGGTTAACATTAAGAGTGTCTGGTTTAGTGTGTATTGCTCTGGCATCTCTGGTGGGCCCCCACTTGGATTATTGTAACCTAGCATGGACTACCTACTTGCCTGTTGATGATTTCGAGGGTCAATGTCTCCATGGTGCGGCCTTCGACCAGGCTTCCTGTTCCTGGTCTGATCAACCAGGCTGTTCAATGCTGCTGCTTACAGCCTGATGTACGAGTCACAGCCTGGTTGATCGGGTATCCTTTGAAGGTGCTTGTCGAGTTCTTTTTTGAACACTGAGAGGTTAGCCAATTATGCCCTATTTATGTAGAGAAAAGAGTGTTGAAAGTCTTGGGCCTTGATGTTGATAAAATTCTCTTTCAGCGTATCTATTGCACGTCTGCTTTTCAATGGGGCTATTTTGCACATCCTGCCATGCCTTCTGGTCTCGCGTGGGATTATTTCTGTGTGCAGATTTGGAATCAGTAATTCTAATATTTTCCTAGTGTAAATTATTATGTATCCCTCCCACCAGTGCTCTAAGGAATACAGATTTAGACCTGGTGGATATGTGGGCCTGCGGGCCGCTCTACACAACAGTCTGGTGTACCAAACTCTCACAAGTCAAGCCTGGCCTCGGGCCGGGCATGGGGAGTAGAAGAACTTCCAGAACCCCATCAACCAGGTATCAACCAGGTACCTCATCTTCAGAAGAACATCTTCATCTTCAGAAGGCTGCATTGGAGAAAGTTCAACACTGGGCAACAAAAATCATCCCAGAACTAAGACAACTCATGTATCAGCAACGGTTGAGGGCCACAGGGCTAGCAACACTGCAAACCAGACATGACAGGGCTGATCTCACCGAAACTTGTAAAATACTGAACAATTTGTAGGATATTCATCCAGACAACTTCAAAAGTTTAGATATAACACAAGGAGCAAGTTTCAAACTCAACAAGACATACTGTAGGATACCTGATCAACCAGGCTGTGACTCATACGTCAGGCTGTGAGCAGCCTGACATATGAATTTTAAAATGCAGCTAGAAAAAATAATCAGAATTGGGGGATCTTTGACAAAACGTCGACTTTGTCCTTGTCGAGGCCACTAGTGTGTTAGTGGCCCTTGGGTAAATTTAGATGTGGCTTGGCCACTATACCATCAACTTGCACAGTGCAAGAAACTGTTTACAATGTAGATCCCAGGAATTCAGTTTATTTCCACTTTTCCTTACATTTTGCATCCAAATTAATCATGCTATGAGGAATTTTTTTGCTGCACATCAGTGACTATGCATGTAAATCCCAAGCTGTACATTAGGGGTCAAAATCTGTAATCATTCTTTGACATGTACAAGACATTATTTTTTCAGCTGTCAGCTGGATTGAGGACTGGGCCTGTAGGAAGGTAATTAGTATTATTTGTGCACTTAATCATTTCAGTCCCCTATCTGGGGACCTTTTCTTTTTAGGGTGATTTACGATTCCCCGCTTCATGTGCCTCTATAGAAGGAGGGGGCCAGGTTATGGTCTCTGGTCCCCAGTCAACCTGGCCTCTTAAAAGAACATCGCATTTCGATTGTATGTGTTACATAAGGCCAAAAATTGTCATACAAGAAAATGGAAGCGGCTCGTGAAAGTTACGTACTGTCCCATCTTCTGTTTTGGGTCCTCTGGTAGGTTAGGAGAGGACACTTTAATGTGACCATTTTCTTGACGTTGGGCAACCTTAGGAGGACGGGCTGCCCCAGTAGCCTTATTTATGACTCATTAGGGCCTGGTGTGGATTAAATTAGATGGAGCTTGCCAGGCAGCAAGCACCAAAGAGCTATTAGGGCTCACCAGAAAGAAGCATTTCATTACAATAGATGTTAGTTTATTTACAGGATGTGATGTACATCAATTCACAATCCCGTTCCATTTTTCTGTAATAACCCAATGATATACTTAAATTATGCATATTTTCACTCATTGTTTGCATTTCACGAGGATTTCATGCAACTTTTTCCTTTTTCAGGCTGCAGTCAGTAGGTTTTCTACCAAGGTGTCCAGACCAAAAAAGGTAGAAAGGGCAGCGCCTAAATTGGAAGCAATCCAAGCAGTGTTGAGCAGGAAAGAGGAGTTGAAGCAGAAGGAGAATGAGGAAGCACGGCGCAAGAAAGAAGTAAGTTTATGTAGAGAATTCACTATGCAGTTAATCTTCATATGTTCATAAAGTTACATTATTACCTGCACACACAAAAATGAACATATACAGTACAGGTATTTCATTAGTGAAGAGCTAAGCAATATAAATCCTTTTGTGGCAACAACTGTTTTGACCCTATAATTTATTGGGTTTATACGAGGCTAAATCATATATTTTATTTTTATTTTTTTATTTTGTAATTGATAAGAAAATTATCAGCTCTTTCCAGTGATATCATTAAAAAAAATTATATAAAATATTTTGTTTTCATTTTATAGTATAGTTTGTAATTATAGTATGTTTGTTTTATAGTATAGTTTGTAATTTAGTTTGTAATTTAATTCATTTTTATCGGGGACAGGAAGCCTGTGTGTGTGTTTACTAGTTGTGTTTTTGCGGGGGTTGAGCTTTGCTCTTTCGGCCCGCCTCTCAACTGTCAATCAACTGTTTACTATTTTTTTTTTTTTTTTTTTCCACACCACACACACACCCCAGGAAGCAGCCTGTGACAGCTGACTAACTCCCAGGTACCTATTTACTGCTAGGTAACAGGGGCATTCAGGGTGAAAGAAACTTTGCCCATTTGTTTCTGCCTCGTGCGGGAATCGAACCCGCGCCACAGAATTACGAATCCTGCGCGCTATCCACCAGGCTACGAGGCCCCTACGAGGCTGTGTGTGTGTGTGTGTGTGTGTGTGTGTGTGTGTGTGTGTGTGTGTGTGTGTGTGTGTGTGTGTGTGTGTGTATGTATGTATGTATGTAGGTGGCGGTGGCGCCACCGCCACCGCCATATCCCACCGCTGCCACCAGTATTCGTTTGCCTTGTTCGGGTTGAATGTAGACACAGTAGTCGCTTCTGTATATATTTATTGAGTGAGGCAAACAGGTGTATAACTGGCCAGCCGAGGTCCACCTACTCTGGGTCTGTGAGGATAACTGAGGCTGCTGGGAGCATGGCTTGATGCTCCTCTGTCTGGCATGACGTCAGAGGCCTACTTGCCTGTGATTGGTTACATTTCACTGACAGAATTTGAGTATAACATATGTATGTATGTATGTATGTATGTATATATATATGTCGTACCTAGTAGCCAGAACGCACTTCTCAGCCTACTATGCAAGGCCCGATTTGCCTAATAAGCCAAGTTTTCATGAATTAATTGTTTTTCGACTACCTAACCTAACCTAACTTTTTTGGCTACCTAACCTAACCTAACCTATAAAGATAGGTTAGATTAGGTTAGGTAGGGTTGGTTAGGTTCGGTCATATATCTACGTTAATTTTAACTCCAATAAAAAAAAAATTACCTCATACATAATGAAATGGGTAGCTTTATCATTTCATAAGAAAAAAATTAGAGAAAATATATTAATTCATGAAAACTTGGCTTATTAGGCAAATCGGGCCTTGCATAGTAGGCTGAGAAGTACGTTCTGGCTACTAGGTACGACATATATATATATATATATATATATATATATATATATATATATATATATATATATATATATATATATATATATATATATATATATATATATATTTATATTATATAATAAAATGTAATATACTTACATTAGGCTTGCATGGAGGTCCCCTCAAGGTCAAACTACTGGTCCTCCTTAGGATGTCCAAAAATGGATATTCCCTGCTTTTGCCTTGTACAAAATTGAGTTGTTCACAGTCCATACCAAGGGGGGGTGACAATCATTCATTCAGCCTCCATGCCGCCTGTTGGGCCAGTGATAAATATGACCCTGAGTCTTGTGGGGTCTGTATTCCCCAAACGGCACTCTTATTGGACCCTCCAGATGAAATTCATGAGTATCAGGCAGGGACTGCTTTGCAGTTTCATTTTGCTTACTTCCAGCAGTCTAGGTTTGTCCAATTGGATGTTCTGGAGCTGCCCCGACTTGTATTTAGAGATCTGGATATGGAAGTCCAGGAAGTTCTGCCCAAAACTCAATACATGTTAGTGACTGCTAGAATGTAAAATACCAATTTTATGTATTCTCTCACACCCATTTTGCCTTTTTGTAAATAAAATTATTATTATTATTATTATTATTATTATTAAATGTTGCTCTCTACCTTGGCTTTCTTAGCACCTCCTCTTCCTTTCCCGTCAGGCATAGTTCGCCCTCCCTCTCATCTTCCTCCCTGCTTCCGGCCACGAAACGTCCGAGGATTGGGGTAGGATTTTGCTTCGGATGTGGCTTGGCCAGCTTCTGGGTTTGCTCCCCTTAATTCAGGTGCTGAGGCTGTTGAACTGGCTGGTTCTGCTGAGGTTTCAGGTTTTTCCTTCCAGCCAGCCCCTCCTTTTGAAGCCTTTCCTCAGGACTCTGCTTTTCTATCCCAGGTGGTGGGCATGGATGCTTGAGGGGAGTCTGATGTGGGCCTTTATACTCAACCTGGTTTTTGATATTCAGCCTCTGAACTGGGGTTGGATAGCTGGCACTGGGATCTGGGGCTTCCCCTTTTGCCTCCTGAGGAGGGGGGAGCCGTGCAGACAGTGGTGCGGCGGCGGTTGTGACATCATGCTTGTTTTCTTGTTTTCGGATCAGGGAGTTCTGCTTGATAGTTCTGCCTTCGGTAGCAATTTTGAACCAGGTGGAGTTTGTTTTGTGACGCCTACCTTTTTGGGTGCCTAAGTCGGTTGATGGTAGATATGGATTGCTTCCAACCTCATGGAGGTTTCTATAGGCCATTGCTCCTCGTGCCTCTCTGAGGGGGGGCCAGGTTCTGGCTCATAGAACCAGAACCTGGTTCCAGAACCTAGAACAAGAACTCCAATCAAATTGACTGATGCCACGGTCTAATACATACATACCAGCCCATTAAGCTCCGGGGAGCCTCCGGGACTCGCCCAGAAAATGACGTTTCATTACATTCAACACTGGTTTTTTTAATTTTTGTCAGACTTTGTCTTGACTACCGGTAGTTCAACCTTCTCTATTGTAAGTCCCTGTATTTTGTCCTCCTCCTGTGGGTAGTTAGCTTCAGGAAGACACAAAGAGCTTCCCCCAGAAAACCAACACTTGAGTGTAATGAAGTGCCAATTTCTGGGTAAGCCCTGGTAGCTCTTTGATTCCTGATCCTCTCCCTTTTCCCCTTCCCCCCCTATAAATGAGTAGGGGAGGTGGAGTGGACAAGCACACACTACTTTCGAGAGATTCGGTTATTTGTTTACATAGTTGGGAGAGTTCATTAGGCAGATTGTGAGGCTTCGGCCTCTTGAACCAGCAGTTCTGTGTTTTGGTTCACTGACTTTCTGGATGTCTTCCCTAGTGAGATGTTACTGTCATCTTCTACCTGTGCCTCTTTGATGGAGGCCAGGTTCTGGTTTTGGTTCTGGTAAGCCTAAGAACTCCACAGTTGATGCGACCTAATAGTTGGGAGCTATCTCAGTGAGATAGTTTCAGGGAGCTGCCAAGGCTCACCCAGAAATTATAATTTCATTACATTCAATGCTGGTTTTGTTAACCAACAAATGGCCAGGTAGGTATGGACTTAAAAAAAAAAAATTATTGCTATTTTTATGTCGTCTGCAACCATTTCTTTCATAATACTTTTTCATCTTTGGGGCAAACATCTGCTCCATGAAACTGGGAAGTGGGTAAGGATAATTTTTTTACACAAGAAATCCATATTATATAATGTTTATTAAAATGCTACAAGTATTCCATGTGATATTTCAGAATTTGCTGGCCCTGAGAGCACAAGACAGGAAGTCTAATCAGAGAGTTAAAGCCATGATCAACAGAAACAAAGGTGCTTCCAAATCTGTTTTAGATGATGCCAAGGTAAGTTTGAAATTGGGGTATTACTTGATTTCTCGCAATTCAAGATTAATGACACTATGGTTCAGAAACTTCATGAGTTTCTTTTTTTCTTATAACTATTAATATTGTTATAAAAATTAATTTAATAAAATATTTTAATGGTTCTCATAGCGTATGTCTAAAATTCAGAGAATCAGCTTACTTTATTTAGTATTTATTTATATAAGACACATTGTCTTAGAGCTAGTGTTTTCTGGAGCCAGTTATTAGATTAAATAACAAAACAATCATATAATCCAAAGTTAAATTGCAACGTATGTTGTACAAGCCATATGATGAAAATGTCAATATTAATAGCTTTTAAACTAAATCAGTTTAATTTGTAATAATGATCAGGAGTCTACTTAATAAAAAACCTGTGTTTAATGTAATGCCTCTTTCTGGTAAAGTATCAACTGGAAAAACTGTGCTAACTTTTAAATACTGCACTTAAAATAACACCGTGTGACAAAGTCGGAAGTCCCTTCACCAGCTGTACACTTCCTTTCCCATCAAGGCACCCAAGAGCCTGGTGCCTAGACAACCCGTTCTCGCACCTTCGTATAGTCAATATAGACTTATTAAATACGTGCATATGTGACATACTAATTTATTGTGAATATTTTAGTTTACCTTGAAAAGCTTCATAGAAGCTTTTCAATTGTAATTACAATTATTACTTAACCTATTATAGGTATAGGTTAAGTAATAATTGTAGTTACGAAGCAATAAGATGCTTATCTTAACATACTAAGAAGGTTAGGTAAGGTCGGTGTTTTCTATGAAGCTTTTCAAGATAAACTAAAATATTCACAATAAATTAGTATGTCACATATGCACTTATTTAATAAGTCAATATTGACTATAAGAAAGTGCGAGAACGGGTTGGCCTAGAACACCAAAATTTATCCCCATAGAAGGATTTAAAAAATTATAGGTTTCATTATTAAATATTGCTACTACTGTTTGTAGTGTATTATATTACAAGATATTAATGCTCTTGTGTTTTCGTTACAGGACATAACAACTGCCAAAGGGGAGGAGCAGTGTGATGAGGATGATTATGGTTATGAATCTACAATGAGTCAAACCATTTTCAGTAAGCTAGCTAATCAATATGCAAACATGCCTGAAGATGATAAACTGAGATTTGTCAAGGCCTCTACCAAAAGCAGTATAGCAGATATCAAGGTATGTGAAATCTTGTTTTAATAGGTATTATTAAGGTGTAATTTAATTGTCTTATGCTTTACCACATCCTTTTAGAGGTTATGTTTCAAATGCATCAGCATATATATGGCACAATTATGTAAATCATAATTTATTTGGCACTTTTTTTTTTTAAGTTAGATACTGTAGTTGCTTTTGTGCATGATGACCTAGATTTCTAGCAAGTAATTCAGGCTGAGCAACCCATTCTCTCAGTTTGCCATTGTAAGAAATGGAATTGTTTTTCCTAACAAGAAACGTATGAACCTGAGTGTGCAATATTACTTTTCCTGACTGCAGTTGCATGTAATGTCAATAATTTGCATATGGTAGATGGCTCATTAAAAGCTATCAAGATCCAGCAACTACCGGAGGTACCCAATCTGGGTACATTAGTTAAGTGGGGTTCCTCTGTGGGGTGGTCATCCTCAGGTGTTCACCATTTGAGATTCACTTAAGTCGCAAGAACCCTTTCAATGCAAAACAAAATCAATATGAAGAGCTCTCTCCAGTCCTCCTCAAAGTCATGACATCTATAAAGATGTCATGACTTAACAGGCTTGTATGGTGTCATTATGGGTGATTTAAGGCTATCAAAAGCTAGTAGAAATACTCTGAACCAGTTTCACGAAAATACAAGCGCAACTATTAACATAAGTTTAATCAGTAATTTACATGCTAATACACAGGGTTTATTCAAGATTGGTGTCAGCAAAGCTGATATTGCATCAGGGAGACATTGAATATCTAACTGATCAATTGACAGGAATGAAACCTCACTTAACACTTATAAAATAACTGAACATTAACTCTGCTTCCTAATCTCTGCTGGTATGCTACACTCGGGGGGGGGGGGGGGCACAGAAGCTCAGTAGAATTCTCAGGCTATCCCATAAGCATATGCAATGAAATCACTAAATAGTCGTGCATAAATAACACCCAAAAAATATAGACCTAAATAAGAAATTGAAGGCCTAATATATGCCACCTTAGTCTTAACTAAGTACATATATGTGCTATATTTGGCCTATGAAAGCTTAGGTTTGGTTATTGCCTACTTTTCTGTGCCCTCTACTAAATTAATAATAAAAATTGAACTTTTTTGTCGAAGAAAGTTGAGCGAACAAAATTTTTGTACTAAATTATCTCAACAATGTTGAGATATCACCATATACTTTACATGGTAAAGTATATGGTGATGGCAACAAAAAGTCCAAAGGAAGCACTTACTAAATTTAATGTTAGTAAGTATTGTAATATCTTCTCACAGACATAATAACATAGGATATATCAAGGTATGTAGTAAAGCCACACTTGTATGTTTGTGTATTTGGGAAATTTATGTAAAGAATTTACACCACATTTTATACATAAATTTCTTTATTCTTTGTTAATTCTTTACATAAATTTCGCAAATACACAATGTGGGTGTTTATCTTATTTAATGTTGGTGATAACAGTATAGTTGCTGGCTCATTCCTAAGGCACAGGAAGGAAACTAAGGCTCTTGAATTTTGTATACAATATGGCAAATGATGGCCAAAACTCTATGGTGTCTACTGAAGTCCCCCATAAATCAATGAAACTTTTGAATATTATCAGTACAGGTGTACCTCAAACCACTAAAATAGCAGAAACAGTAATGTGTATTAAAGGGTGATGTTCCAGTGAAAGAAACTAGCAAAATTCTAAATGTTTTATGCAATTGGTTTTGTGCTCCTTGTAAATAGTTTTCTTTGATATTGCCACTTTAATATGCATATAATAATAATAATATTAATAATAATGTTATTGTATATTATTACAGAGCAGAGTTATTAATACGTTGAAGAAAGAGGAGGAAGATGAATTGGCTCCTCGAAAAAGAAAACGTAAAAGCAAACAGGCAACTGAGGATGATGATTTTATAAATGATGGTGATGCATATGATGGTGCATCAAGCAAGTCTGAACTAAAGTCCACCTCTTCTTCTTCTAGCCAGAAGGTTGTTAATATTAATTTCACCAACTATAAAAGTGATAAATTCAATAACTTTAAATATGACGGTGATAAGGAGAAGAAAAAATACAAGGAAGACAATAGGGAGGAGAAGAAGAAAAACAGAGATGACTATAAGGAGAAGAAAAGAGACCGAGAAGACAATAATGAGAGGGTAAAAGAGATTGAAGTCTTCAATGAGAAGAAATCAAAAAAGCTGAAAGATAAGAAGCCTAGACCTGCTGCTCCACCACCAATGAGTTTTGAGGAGCTTCTTAGAGTTGCTCAAAGGAAGCAGGCAGAGCCTCTTCCAGTCTTGAAGGAGGAAAAGAAAGAGAAAGAAAAGGAAAAACCACAGAAAGACTTGGGCCGGCCACTAACTGCCAAAGAAAAGGAAGAGTTGGAAGATGAGAGAAGACGCAAGTTAAAGAGGCTGGGCAAGTTGCCCCAAGACAAAATAGAATTAGAGAAGCCCAAGGAAAAGGAACAAAAGGCTGATGTGGAAGATTCACCAAAAATTAGAAAGAATGGTGAAAAGATCATAAAAAAAGAAAATCCTACCAAATTACAGCAAGCTCTTGAAAAGCCTAAGCCAGAACCCAAAGTAATTGACAAATCGAAGTACTTTGCAACTGCAGGACAAAAGCCTCGGGATCCTCCTCAAATCAAAGAAATCAAACCTGTGCAGAATTCCAAGCCACCAGCTCCAAAAACTCAAACGTCTACTGGTAAAGATTTCGCGCCAAGAGATATGAAACCTCCAAAGCCTAGAGATTTTCCACCTAAGGATATGAAGCCTCCAAAATCACAGAAGGTTCTTCAGAAGAGTAAAGTTAGAGATTTACCACCACCACCACCGAAGCGGCCTGCATACAATCCTCCTCCCAAAATGCGCATTGCCAGTGACTCAGAAGAGGAGGATGATGACTCCGATATGGATGATTTCATCGATGATGGAGATCAAGGCATAGATATCTCAAGTGAAATTAGAAACCTGTTTGGATATGATAAAAGAAAATATCAGTAAGTACTCTATTCTTTTTGAGTATTATTCCTTGTGTGTACTATCGTGTGAAATTATCTAAAAGGAGTTAAAAGATGAGAGCTTCAATCTTAGTGTCCCTCCTTAACTATTTTCTTTGTTATAGTTTCCTTTAAAGTTTCAGATAATTTTAGCATTCACTACTCTCTCATTTAAAAGAAATTTGTGCATTTTATAGCACCTTTGTATTTGTAACTTGAAATTCTGGCCTCTCTTTCTCAAGGTTTCAAAAAAAATCCTCCTTGTATATGTTGTAACATCTTTGTCTTATATCCACTAGTTTTTAAACATTTAATGCTTCTAGTCTATCCTCCATATGAGGAGCTGCCTCACATGGGCCAGTGGGCCTCCTGCAGTTTCAATTATTCCTTTGCTCTTATATTTTATGTCCTGGAGTCATTGAATAGTGTACCTTTGCACCTTATGAATTTCCAAATGCACACCATATTATAGGACTTTTAAATAGCTTAGCAGTTTAGAGGTTAAATAATAATTTTCTTCCAAATAATATAATACCTTTATACTGTACATTTAATGAGGGTTTGTTAGTTATCATTCATGCATATATTTGTACGAGTCACTTTTAACTATATCATCTAGTGTTGGCATTACTTTTAATTGAGGAAGGTTGAGAGACTCACTGAGCTTCATAATGATGTAATGTAAGAAGACTTTCAAGTCAATAGAATATTCATTCTTGTCCAATTCTAAGTAGATTAACCATTGGGCTGTGCCACTGTTTATACAAGACTGGTGCACGAGAAGAAATGAAGTAAAAAAAAATTGTCCTACTAATATTGTTAATTAAAAGGTATTCCCTATCTCTTAATCCAAGCAAAGCATAGCATCACATGCTAGTTAGTTGCTAACTCTAGCCACAACACTGCTATTATTATAATATTATTATAATAATTATGGTCACTAAATCCTGAATATGAATAATTTTCCACAAGTTTCTTTTCTAAAGTAATATGAGGTCCTGTTTCATGATGCATAGCTGCACCAAACTGTGGCTGTGTGCTGTGAATGTCCGCCTCATGCTGTGAACACCATAGCCAGCATTGGGTTCACTGATATGTGAACCTTGTACATAGTTTTCATCAGTCAGGATCTTCTGAGACACTACCATGGTTATATTGCAGTTACTTATTTATTTCATCCTTATTAGGTGATGCTGTAGGCATGTTTACTGGAGGGTTGAGGAAGCAGGTGTGAGCCCTGTGTACCCACGGGACTCTTAAAATCTTGGGTGGTACTTTAAAACTTCCTCGGTTGTGTCACACAGGTTACAAACAGTTAGCAAGCTCATCCTAAACCATGCTGGGCAGTGGAAGTATTACTCTAATGAATCAGTTTTTTTTTTTATTTATTTTTCAATCTGTCTTCCAAAAATAATAGCACTTAAAGCAACTATTTGTTAAACTTACAAAAATGGACTGCTGTGCCTCAAAAAGTTGACATTTTGTACTGTTAATCTTGTAGAGGGGCACAAAACAAGAACGAACAATCAAACCTAAACTTTCCTATGCCTATTATAGCACATATATTCACTAAATTAGGCCTAAAATGCCATAGTTTAGGCCTATGACAGGTTAGATTAGATTGATTAGTTAATTTTCAGTTTTTAATATGCCATTTGGGAAATAATGATAATACAAAATAAAAAATTTTTTAAGTTACAACAGTCCATTCTTGTACGTTTGGCCAATAGTTGTTACACGTACTTTTGTTTTTGGAGGATGGGCTGCTATATGTAAGTGAACAATTAATTTGAGATCTATTATATAATGTATTTTTCAGGGATGACGATGACGATTGTGATGACATGGAAGCATCTTTCTCTCAGATGCAAAAAGAAGAGCGAATATCAGCCAAAATTGGACTTAAAGAAGATCTTGAAGATATTCAACGGGAAGAGGAGGAGAGGAAGCGGAAGATGATGAGAATGAAACAGTTAAAAAAATCCAGGAGATGAGCATTAAAACACGTGGTCATTTGAATACACAAGTAACAAGGTATAGTATATTAACAATCACTCTAATAGTCGCTACCTATTTTGCCTCATTGTGTCGCCACCCAGTTCAGTCCATTCAGTTGCCATTGGGCTCGCCCTATTTATATTGTGAATTAAAAGTTCTATTATTTTGCACAGGACTAAAACATAGATTTTGAAAAACTGCGTACTATTTTTAGCAATTTGGACAGCTCTGGGACATCCAACTGGACACACTACCCAGACCGCTGTAAAACAGAAAACCCCCAAGCGTAAAGTGGTCGCAGCTTGAAAACCCTGAACATCCTCACAAAGATTTATTAGGTAAGCAACATGTGGAGAACAAGTCCCACCACTCAGGGTCGAAGGTGTCACAGAACCAACAGGCAGAATGGCAGAAGCAGAAAGGTATAAGCATCGCCATGTGGCACAGGTGATGCAAAACCCTAGAACTCGCTAATGGCAAGTGCGGGTTCAACTGGGATATCCAGTGGACCACCGAACCCATGGGTTTTCCAGGGTCTGCAGGAAATAGCCCTGCAGGAATCCCAGGCACTGGGATTCCTACACTGGACCCCCAATTAGGAAATGGGTCCTCTTTTGTTTTTTAATTGAATGGTATAAGGTGCTGAATATTAGAGAGCTGTGAAGACTAAACCACACACCAGAAGATGAGTAGATGATGACGTTTCCGTCCGTCAGTCATTATGAAGTCAATTGTGATAATGAACTTGATAATAGTCCAGGATGGACCGAAACGTCATCGTCTCCTCATCTTCTGGTGTGTGGTTTAGTCTTCATATCTTCAGCCATGTTATTGTGACTCATCGTCTACATAACAGAGCTGTACATGCTTCCAGTAATTTACACTCGACTTGAGGTACTTCATGGTCGTTCTCCAGAATCTTGGATTACACGTCTAAACCCTCTCTGTGACTCCTCAATCTGAACTTGATCTTAAATATAGCAATTAGAGCATGTGAGATCCTCAGCATCCTTTAATGTAGAAGTACAGGTAGTAATCTTTGTGTATTAGCAAGGGTGCCACATTCAGCTTCGTGAACACCTGCAGCATTGACCTGAGTTGACCTGGCCAATAGTATATTGCATGACTGAGGTGAGAGTTTTCAATATGTATGGCTGGCTGATAGGCGGTGCACCCCCAACGCTCCAACTGTTGCTGTTCTTCAGTTCTGCTATTCTACTGTTACATGAAGGTAGTTAGTAGGCTAGATAGATTTGATAACACTGCAGATGACCTGGGGAAATACGAGCCTTAGAACAGGTAACCAAGGAGACAGGGTCAACCAACAGGACGTCCACCATGGCAGAATACCATTAGTGACCTGTAGTTAGCAGCAAAGAGCTGTCACGAGACAAAACAAGTGATGTACCCCCAGCCAGACCAACCAAGCATTAGTCATCAACAGACCACTCCAAAAGCTAGCCTTTTCTTCAGCAGAAAAGGAGAAGGCTGCAAACGAACAAACTGCCCACCAGAGCTGAAGGAACAAAGTCCTTACCTCAGGTGGAGAGTCAGAAGTTCCCCAACCCTACAGCCAGAAGCAAAAGCCTACAAGAACACAGCTTTGAGAAAGATATCACGAGTCATAAAATGGGGTGGGGAGAGGAAGTCCAACACTGGGTCAAGAGACCAGGATTACTTAGAAGGAGCATGATCTGGCCAGAGGTGAAGAAACAGACATGACAACTTGTGGATTTGCACTGAAGAGTCGACACCAATTGCAAGCAACAATGTCTCTGCCAATGCAGTGTGATAAGAAGCGAGAGTATCAGACATGAGATGCCAATCTAGAAACAAGCAACACAAAAATGACAGACAACCTTGACTGAAACTGAAGAATGACGAAGAGACAGTGGTGAAATGAGCGCCAGGCAAGCTCATATTGCTGCCACGAGTAAAGACACAGGTTTGACACCAACAAACCTGCCAACCCACTAGCCATACAAATGGATATAGATGCATGTCAAAAATTTCAAATGCATACAGCAGAGAAGCTTGAATTAGCAAAGTACATCTTTGAGCTGATTTACTGAAAGAGGCCTTGGAAGAATGCCCAGGTTCGGACACCGAGTTAGAAGCACTAGAAACTACTAAGGCTAGGCTGGCCACCAAGTAGCCAAAAAGATTACCTTCACCGAATACAAAGGCAGGATGGGCAGAACCTGGGATGACAACTGAATTGGGGGAAGAAGGTAAGTGCATAGTCACCTCAACCAGTCCAGTCAAAAGGCATCCACTGCAAGAGTTTTGAGATTAGGGAATTGAGCCACATACTAGGGAAGGTGCTGTTTCCACATAGACATTTATAGGTCTCACAGATCCAACAAAAGAATGCATCATCAACGGTCTATTCCATAGAACTGGGACGGAAAGCGAGTTAACCAATCCACAAGAACATTGTATACACACCCCGCACGTGAACCGTACAGACAACCCAACAAATAGAAGTTGAATTACTCAAAGCATCCAGCTCCACAGGGCGATGGACTGAAATGACCCTCCTTCAGGTCAGGCACTGAACCACTGTATTTATTTACTGTATGTCTGCAGAATCGAGCCACAGTATTTGCTCTTGGACCCTGCCTTTCTAACCATTCTATTTTCCTCTATTATATCTACAGTACATATATTTCTATCTTAACACACGCACACACAAAGGGGCCGGTGGCTGAGCAGACAGCATGCTGGACGTGTGATCCTGTGGTCCCGGGTTAGATCCCGGGCGCCGGCGATAAACAATGAACAGAGTTTCTTTCACCCTATGCCTCTGTTACCTAGTAGTAAATAGGTATCTGGGAGTTAGTCAGCTGTCACGGGCTGCTTCCTGGTGTGTGTGGGGTGTGGAGAAAAAAAATAGTTGTTAGTAACAGTTGATTGACAGTTGAGAGGCGGGACGAAAGAACAGAGCTCAACCCCCGCAAGCACAACTAGGTGAATACACCCATCCTCAGGAAGCAGCCCGTAGCAGCAATTCCCAGGTATCTATTTACTGCTAGGTGAACAGGTGCATCAGGGTGAAAAACTACAGTATGCCCATTTGTTTACACCCCTGCCGGGAATTGAACCTGAGCCATTAGGCCTGTGAATGTGTGTTAACATAATGTGTAACTAGCTTCACAAGGTGGTTATTGCATTGGTAAATAAACTGGGGCTCAGTTCCTGGACTAATTATGTGGTTATCTTGAGATAATTTCGGGGCTTAGCATCCCTGCGGCCCGGTTCTCGACCAGGCCTCCTTTTTGTTATACACCCCCCCAGGAAGCAGTCCGTGGTAGCTGTCTTAACTCCCAGGTACCTATTTACTGCTAGGTAACAGGGGCATCAGGGTGAAAGAAACATTTTGCCCATTTGTCTCCGTCTCCACCTGGGATCGAACCCAGGACCTCAGGACTACGAATCCGAAGCGCTGTCCACCCAGCTGTCCGGCGCCCAATCCTCTGCCTCTGTAACCCTTTGCACCACTAATCACGAGATGGGTATGGGATGCATAATAAATGACTGGTTAAACACCAGGATGTGATGTGGTGGAGGTAGGCTACATACACATACAAAATTTGAAAAGTAGATATGATAAGAGCTCAATAAGCACAGGAACATGTATATCCCCACTTCCCCCCCCCCCCAGTTGAATGACAGTTGAGAAGAGGGACCAAAAAGCCCGAGCTTAACCCCACCTCCTCCAAAGCACAATAAGTAAGTATATCCACATACAATGCAAAACTTGTAGATCTCAACAGAACCTGAAGTAGCTTCCGCCACCCTGAGGAATAGTGCCTCGGCGTTTCCCTCCATCTTGGCCATCCAGGAGGTGGAGGAGACTAGTGTAGATGGGGACCATAACAGCGCTCCCACACCCACCACACCACTGGAACTCCACCACCACTCCCAGCCACCCAGTAAAGGTCAGGGGAGGTTATTGTTCGAGGTAGTGTTACCTCCAACTGTACGTGTGGGTTGCATCCATTGAGCACCTCGAGTTTTCACACGTCTTCCCCGGGTTGTGGTGGCCCATCTGCTAGGTGTTCGGGTTTTGCCCTACCTCTACGACTGGTTCATAGGCCATTGCTCCCTGCACCTCTCTGAGGGGACCAGGTTCTGGCTCGTGGTCCCCAGTAGGCTCAAACTCCACGAGACTAAAATCCTAGACTAATATTACTAATATCAGTCCGATAGCTCCAGGGAGCCTCCGAGGCTGTACCCAGAAAATGGCATTTCATTACATTCAACACTGGTTTTCCCCCCACCCATAAGGTAATAAACCTATGAAATTGCTTCCTGCTACCTGCTGAAGCCATAAATGCTTTAGACATTACTCCAGTTCAAAATTCAACTGGAAAAAATTCTCAGGAATAATGGTGATTGGAGGGGGGAGGGAATATCTTTCACAAGCCACTAGAGATATAGTGGCCCTCATGTAAAATAAGGTAAATTCAGTACACCACTGTATTCATGTTTTAAGATTTTCCAGCATATGATAGTTCACTTAATTGCTTAAGTTCACATCGAAACATATCTTGTTCATGTAGTTACATGATTTGATCCACAAAATACCTGACTCCTTCTCTGATATAAATAGCATAGAGGGATTGGGATAATAACAATTTCTCATATTATTATTGGGTGCAGACATTAGTGTGAGAGGTTGTCATATTTACATTATGAATACTTTTTCTACAATTCTTTACTTTTGTCTCTTGGCAGGTGCCTCCCCACCCTCTCACTATAAACGTGGGAAATAGGGTAGATGTCAGAATGCGCACGAGTCAGCCTCACGTTGTAGCCAGTGGAGAGAAATGTTGTATTGTACTATATAGATAAAATACAAGAATGTTTTTAAAAGTACATGCTTGTCAATTTTGTTTAAGAAATAATTGTTGACTATTATATGAAAAATGTTGACATAAATATTCCTATTTTGCATCAGCATGAATGGATGAGCTTGTACATTAGGTGTTCTTTCTTTTGAACATTGGTATTTACTGTACCTTATTTTGCCACTGAAATATCAACTAAAGGTTTTCTATCAGGGGCAGTCTAAGCGAGATCTGTTTATAGTGTGTATATTTAAAAAGTACCATATGAAGTTAGTTGTACAGAATGACTATAGATAAAATAGTGATCTGTACGTGCTGTGATACAATGCAAAAAATTTGCTCATGTTTGCATATTTTGTGTGATGGTGTACAGGTTGTGGCTCTCAACATGTGTCTTTTACTTCCATGTCGAGCATTGTTGTAACACAACTGATACCTTCAGTTGACCTCTTCTTCACATACAGTGCTGCAACCACCTACTCCTCACAGGTATAATTATATATAATTATACCTTTCACTTTATATATTCTGTGACAAATTCCTGAAACTGTATACATGGGCAAGATGTGTTCAGCTGAGTGGTGGGTAGAAATTTTGTTATTCGCTTCTGTAAATCGGTAAACTCTCTAGGTAAATTAGTCGAAAGTAAATAATAAATATTTATATATAAATACAGTACAGTCTGCATTTTGTTAAAAATTGTGACTCATTTTCCATGGCTTTTGTGTGTCTGAATTTATATTAAAGTTGCAGTGCACTTGGCTACATTTGAATGTAACATTATGTAAAGGTGAGTGGATAAGCCTTGAGGCAGCCAGATGGTGTACTATATAGTGAACATTGTGTGTGTGTGATGCTTAAAATCTTGTCTTGTTTCTGAATTATATATAAAATGCATCTTTTAAATAATCTATTTTAATGCATTTCAAATATATTTAGAATATGCTAGTTATTGTATTTTGTAAATTCTAATTAATTCCTTTAATATATTGTATACTATGTATACAAATGGTTCATATTCTTTTTCTATTACTTTTAACCCATCAGTGAATCTTTCATTTGTAAGTTTATAGCTAATACAGTACTTGGAGTGCCAGTGTCAAGCATTTAATAAATTCTTTTGTTACATTTAGGTTGAGGTTGATACAATATGCATACTATTATGACAGCTGTACTGAGATAATGTTAGCTTATGTACATAAGGATCATTTGGGTTCTACTGGTACTAGGGAGCCTTTGGGAAAAACCTCAGGCCAGCTCAAAGTGACCACAGGACATTCCTCTTATAAATACTCAAAACCTTTCCAATCCTTGCTTGTCATCAAAAGGACCAACAAATTGCACTCACAAGACTCAAGTTTGTCCACTATTCCACCTGGCTGCGTGGCTCCTGATCCTCACCAGATTACATCTCCATGGTAATACCTGGTCCACAGACTCAAGCCTCATCACAGTATTCCTGACTAATTTGTGATGACTGGAAACTGGTTCATAACCAATTTCAGCTAAATGCCATGTTTTTGACCTTTTGAAACCTTGATTTCACTGTGCAGTGGTTTCATCTGTGTACTATACTTGCTATGTCATTACATTTACATTATTTGGAAGTCTTTGTGTCTCATGTCTTAACTGGCTGGTGATTCAGTATTTTCAATTGCAGTTCATTCATAATCCCTTGGTACTGTTCAGGACAGGTGTTTGTGCCATGCGCACACACTTTGGTACACTGTTACCTTTATTTGAAAGTAAGTTGTTTGTTTATCTTTCAAGTCTGACCTTAACAATTCTTCATGGATTTTTTTTTAAGGTCATAGGCTGTTATTGCCTCTCATTATCCAAATCCTGACAGGATTTGATTAGGGTCAACCAGTAACACTTGTCAACAATTTTTCAAAAGTTGTCTGCTTCTAAGGTGAAGAGAGCTGTTTCATCATGAATTTTGACATGCTGACATTCAAATGTAACAATAGATAATCAGCAATTTTAATTATTATATGTGTCGGGTGGTAACAAAATTTTGCTCAAGTTAACAAGTGTAGGATGCTGAATGTGTTTCTCCCAGGCTCCAATGATAGGCAGAGTGACCAGTCTCTCACGACACAATGGGAATCTCTCGCACAACTTTTCCACTCCCCAAGAACACAGCAGTGCCTTGTGTATCCACCCTGCACACCCATCACATGAACAACCACTTTCAAGTTGCTACAGAGCTGCCACTGGCATTGGTCATCATTTATATACCTCAAAAGCTTCAAGTTGTCATGTTTCCTTCATATGGGCTGCATAACCAAATGGATTGATGGCAAAACACTCCCATTTTGCAGCAAAACAGATTTAAGATTCATCTTTGGTAAAAACTAGAGCTTATCATCAATTTAAAACATTTCCATTCTCAGTGACTCAGAATTAGTCAAGATAGACTTAATTTGTTTCAGAAGCATTTTGACTGTATACCAGTGTAACATTTGCCCGGATTCCCAGGCCTTTCCTACACACATTGTGGAGAGGCTTGGGTGACCTGTTACTAATTATGACTGGTTGGTTGCTATTTTGTGCCTTTTGCCATTGCATATCAGTTATAGGATTGGCAAACTGCTACAGCCAGGTGAGATGCCTTCAACATTTTCCATGTTAGATTCAGGGTTGATGTCACCTTCAGTTGTACTCTGCTATGCATATATGTAACCTTGTTCAAATTATCGTCTTAGCAGACCACTTTGTGGCTACCAAGCTTCGGATTTGGGTACTTAACTGTCAGCATCAGTGGGCTAAGTTCTTAATATATGCCAAGACTCTGCAGAATCCCCATCAAGCTGATCTGCAACTTGGGAGTTTCCCCACTTTAATTTGGTTGCACTTTTAACTTTTATCTTTTGCTTGCCTTGGTGAGCATCTGAGCAGAATTACCTAGAAATCAAGCATTGAATGAATAAGAAACACTATATCTGATCAAGCCACTCAGATGCTCCTGTTTCACACATTGAATCTCAAGCTCACTTGCATACCAGTTTTCCTTGCATTAGTCAGATTATTATAGAGTTCGTGGCAGGGGGACCCAGGTATTGGCAAAGCTGCTGCTGCTACTAGGTGGTACTGTAGTCAGTCAGCAATATCCAAGTAATTCTTTTTTTTTGGGCTCATACCTTGCCCTCCCATGAAAGTTAGAAATTAGGCAGTAACATATTTCAAGATATTTGCACTACTCTTGGACGGTGCTACATAGTCTTTCCAGCTTGGCGCCTTCTTTTCTTAATTATTCACTTTTACTACCCTTAGAAGAGTTCTTGTTTTTCCCGTGAGTTTACAACTGCAACACACTCGACCACTTTACATAAAGTACAACAATGGAGCTGCTGCTTCTTTATTTAAGACAAATTTTAACAACACTTGTCCCAATGAAGATGCAATTATGGGCAAAATTTGAGACTGTATATCTACATCTACATTCAGTACTCACGTCAAATTTTGCCAGCACAATGGAACATGGATTATAGAGGTCCATTCCAAGAAACTTAACAAAAACTTGTGAACCACCTTTACATCAGCAATACTTGTCAAATGCCAAAAAGAGATAGGGTAAGATAAACGATCTCAATTAATATGGTCTATATTAATGCTCTTGCACATTTACTTGGGACATCCACTTCAACATTAACTTGTGTCTTGTGTAAATGTAACCAGTATTTGTGAAGAAAAAAGTTGAACTATCGGGTTGGGAGCTAGAGCCCAATCCTTCAAACTATCTGACTGTGAGCATGGTGAGCTACCATCAATATTTTTTTCAAGATGACAGATGTTTACTGGTGGTCTCAGGCTTTGATTGAAAACCCTGTGCACCTGAGGGAGTTTCCAAGTGTTGCAGAGTACCTAAAAATATCTTGGGATATTACACCATGTGTTGAACATCATAGGATGATATATGTTTATATATCACCTTGCATATGATATATGCAAGGGTTAATAGTGAAGCTGAAATCATTGGTGTGTAGTGACAGGAACTCCCACCACCACCTCCCGAGTCTTGTGTGAACATTCTACGTCCAGGAAGAAGGTATTTGGCTGTTGTTCTGAGACAGTGACATGGAATTATATCATTTATACAGACTATAATTTTTGCAAGCTACATACAGGGAAAGACTTTTGCACCCAAATGACATTTTGAAGATTAAGGAACATCTGGAAAGATTTATCAAATACAGGTAAAAACTCTTTCTCTTGGTTCATGTAAATTTCATAAGCTGGTCTTGGATCCTCATGGTTCACTGTAACACTGTGGTACAGCAGGTCAGATATTAGAGTCTTGATGAGTATTTTCAGACGAACAACCCAGATATGAACAAATCAGGCAAATGTTACACTGTGTAACCCTGATACATTCATGTGATGAACATTACCATGATGTAGCAAATAGTGCTTTCATTACCACAGCCTCCTTATGAAGCAAATGGTAAACTGTATTTGATACAGATTAAGTTCACATTTTCCACTGAATATTTTATAATAAACAATGTCATTAAAAGTAGAGCAAATGTATGATAGAATAAATGTTCTACATATATGCAAAGAAGTTGACCATCATTGTTGTTGGCCCTGTCTGCTTTCTCCATACTAGGTGCTTGTTAAGATACAAGTAATTATTAAAAGAAGGGGCCAAGCTGGACAATAAACTAAATTTGTCACAATAAGTCACAGTAACTTTATAATGGTCCAGAATAGACTGAAATGTAAATTTCCTTATTTTCAGATTTGTGGGTTGTGTCCAATCAATAGAGCTTCTCTTCTTGCACACTACACAAAATAAGTACATTCAAATAAAGCAAGTTAAACATTAAAAAGGGGAGTTTCCTATATATAAATATTGTACAAAATTATATGGAATCAAGGAGTGAAAAAAATAAATGATAGAAAATTTATTGAAAAGTTTATAAAAGCCTCAAATTTGTAACTTTAGTACAGGGATACTGTAGGGTAAAAAAAAAAAAAACATGTATTTTATGTAAAGATTTGAACTACACCAAGTCTTAAACACACTCCCAAGTGCATTATCATGGTCTGAGTATGTGGTTAGGACGAGACTTACATCTCGACATTCAGATGTAAGTTTCGTCCTAACCAAATATTGTACTCGGACCTTGATAATGCACTCAAGAGAATGCGAAAGACGGTGTAGTTCAACTCTGTACATAAAATACATAACTAAATGTGTTTTTTTTTATCCTATATTATGTCTGTAATAAGACATTAAATAATGGTAAGGTATACTATGAGTACAAAGGATACTGTAATTCAAATTACCAATGAGGCCGAGATATCCAATGTAAACATTTATAATTCCTTGTCAATCAAGTTCTTCAGATTCTTTATTGGAGTGCTGTAGGCTTCTGCTTCCTCACATTTTAATATCACATCACATATGACTGAAAGAAAAATGCTAATATAAGCATCTGATGGAATACACAGTACTGAAAATGATTTCATTTAAAAATAACCATTTGGAATAAATTTATACAGTAGTTCATCATTGTATATAAACCTTCTGGCCATGTAAGCTATTTTGTTATCTAACAGTGATTTAATCCAGCAAAGAAGGGGAACCACAAACATATGCATGACAGCTTCATGCCTCTAGCACTACTTTATGGCGTCTGCCTCCTCCACACTTATTCTAAGTAAGAAAACCAAAAACGCAGGGTTTCATCATGTCATGTGTAAATGGAAAATTTCATTCAAGGAGCAAAGGCACAATTGTTCAACTTGAGTGAGTGATGTTTTAATTATGAGAGTCAAGACTAACACCAAATTAATATGATAAAAGAAGTGAGAATGCTGGCTGTGTCACCATCTCGGACAGTGGCAAATGTAGCCAATAAAAACATAAGAATCAAACAACATGCACATTTTATATTTATATACAATAAGAATCATAAACATCATATACATTATATATATACAACCTTCGGTTGTACAGTACATCCATTCGAGTTAAAAATTGTGTGTTTTGGTGTCTGCTGCTAATCAGTTAATCGTCATCCAACCAGTTAATAGAAAAGTTGGCTAAATAAACTTTCCTAAGCTTTCTCTTCTTAAACAGTGTAAGATGGGATAAATAGATTGCTAATTAACACAAAAATAATAAATAACATGTAATTTTTTTGTGCATTGTATACTATTTATTGGTCAGTTACTTCAGCAAGGAATTATGGCATAAAGTAGCAGTGCGATCGCACCCGCTGTCTCTCTCTCGTCTTATCTTCATTCATTATTTACATATAATAATGTAAAATATCGGAGAAACAATGTTTATTAACATGAGACAAGATAAAAAGAAGGAATGACAATTTCTTTACCTCCAAACTTACCTAGCCCCTTCAATTAATGGTATGTTAGTTTTTCTGACTATCTGGAGGTATGCCTGCTAATCATTTTGGTAAATTAATGTCACACCATAGTGTCTTGTAGAAAAAAAAAAAAAAAAAAAGAAAAAAAAAAAAAAAAAGAGGAAAATGGACTTTTAGATGTCTGGCATCTTGTTCTATTCTTCCTATATACATAACATTTAAGTTTGATTAATTATTATAAGTGCAGACTTTGACATGCATGATGTTTGCAGGAACATAATAACTCCAGCACAAATCCAGAGCCATATGTACAGTATCTATACTATAAAAAAAGATTGTCTGTGTTTGTCGAAAGTTGGAAGCCAGATGCTGGGGGCTAGCCTTGCCCAACATTGAGACAAGAGAGAGAAATATGAAGTGAGAGAGAGACTATCCCAAGCACTGTGTGGTAGCCAACCCACCCACCCAGGACATACAGTATATATAAAATGATTAACATGCATGAATTCTTTCAGAAAATACTATAGCATTGTTTAATCAAACAAAATGCACAATTTCAAAACTACTGGTATGCACAGTTTTGTTGCTATGAAGCAAAATCTTATTTTACTATTATTATTACCACTATTATTATAAATGATAAGTTGTTCTGCTGGTGAACCAAGCACCATGTTATGTGCTGTATACCAAGAAGAAACAATTATAATACTGTACTTACCTTTTCTCTGACTGTCATCAAGGAATGCAATATTGATTGAAAAGCCCCTTGACTTAGAGAGTGCAAGCAAATACTCGGCAGCAAGAGTGGGTGATACTTCCTCAGACCTCAGAGCTGAGACCACATTAACCAGTGTTTCAGATTCAATGTCCACAGTGCTGAAGAATGCAGGTGGAATGATCTGCAGAATTAAACTAAACTGAAAACAGAATCCTAACAGAAATAACTTAAATACACCTGTTAGGGTGTAAATGGCAACATGCTCTAGAACAGAAGTACTAAACATTCAGGGGGAAGGGGGGTAGAAATAGCCTAAGCTACTCTATTCCTTTGAGATGTATTTCTTTCTAGTCTCAATAAACATACTTGAACTAAACATTCAACTGATCGTAAGTAGAAATGATGTACCGTAGTTGGAGTTTAGTTACAGTGATGAATGAAAAATATGAAAGCCTTTACTGTTTCCTGACTTTCAAGTTCAGTTGATGACAAATATTACAAACAGGAGATGATAAAGTTAAAGGTTGGCTTCATAAACAAGTGTTCTTAAATAATGGGAAAGTAGCAAATCACTGACAAACAGATGGGAATTAGCTTGAGAGTAAACAACGGCAAGTGTACAGAAGAGCTACGGTGTTATTAGGCGGGAAAAGGGCATAACAAGAGTGACAGGAAAGAACCTCTACTAGACAACGGCATTCTCTAACGAAATAATGTGGGAATGATACGTTTGTGTGAATGATTTGAGGAAGCTGTAACATTTCAGCAAGGCTATTTAATGCAACCTTGCCATTTTAATTAATATCTAAATGATTGGAACTGAGATAACTGAGAGCACTTGGGACAAGTTAAAATCCAAGATAAATTTTAATGGAACATACAATTTGGGGATCAGTAATCTGCAGACAAAATAACAAACACCAAGATTCTAAACCTGAGAAACTAAAATGGGGAAACTCAGTTCGTATAAACAGTACAAACTTTATACAAACCTTTAAATATTCAACTGTTCTGGAGACCTGATGGGACAATTTATTCCACTCTTGTATAAATTGATATGAAGTCCTTGGTAGAGCTGGCAAAGACGTGTTCATGGGCATTTTTTCTTCACACTATTAAACAAAAAACAATAAAACAATGTTAATAGAAAAATAAAATTTCCCTGCTAGAAATAGTCTTGTGCATACCAAACTTAGAATTTGTATATTACAGTAATAATGTACATGTTTAACCTTTGACGGTTGAGTAGCTTCACACAGACTTTCTTCTACGGTGCCTTCAACATTAAGGTCTTTCTGAACAGTGGTATTCTCTGCCACAGGTAACACTGGTGATTTTGGTAGGGTGGGTTCCTCTGCCACAGGTGACACTGGTGATTTTGGGAGGGTGGGCTCCTCTGCCACAGGTGACACACTTTGTTTACAAATACTTTCTTTTGTAGCAACATCAACCACGGGGATTTTCTTCAGGGGTTTCTAGGCAAGAGAAAATAAATTACAACAAGCACTTCATTTTAAATATAAAGTAATGTTTTTAATCAAACTACTGGCCCCTCCTGTATAATTATTACTGATCTCAAACATAAGGAGAAACTAAAATCACACATGACTGTCAAAAGTAGGGTGGCTTGGAGCGTAGTCAGTTAATGACTGACTGGTCTTGGGTGCGATTCCTGTGCGAGGCAAGATATTTGGGCATGTTCCCTTACACTTTATGGTTCTGTGCATGTAGTGGTAAATAGGGACCTGGAGAGTTAGTCAACTGTTATGGGTCACACCCTGAGGGATAGTCAGTCATTGACTATCACTGGTGGATAGTCCATCATTGACTATGGTCACTCCCTGGTGGATAGTCCATCATTGACTATGGTCACACCCTGGGGGATAGTCAGTTGTTCACTAGGGAGTCAAACTGTTGAGATTTTTAACACATTTATGTTGGTAAACTTTGAACAGTGTATATTTTTAATAAACACTAGGACATCACAAAATAATAGGACCATACTATTCAATACTTGTCACTGCTAACATTCATCAGTGTATGACTGTAGTCGATATCAATGATGTAAAAAGTGCCTTCCTTAAATAATAATTAATTGAGTCAGGGAACAGGCGGCCTGGGTATATATATACAGTATGTTAAGTTTCTATCGAAGTCCACTCTCCCCCCCCCCCTCCTTCTATAATCAAACTACTGACCCTCCCCAGGATGCAACCCCACAGCAAGTCAATCCCTGGGTACCTATTTACTGTTAGGCAAACAGGGACATTGGGTGATAGAAAATGCACCCATCCATTTCTATCCCACTTGGGATTCAAACACGGAATTCCAAATTGTGAGATGAGAACTAACTTGACTGTACTACTGGTTAAGAAAAATTAGAAGAGACAGAGTTTTGAATGAAGGTGTTTATTGTATTACTTGTTTTGACACCAAACAAGACTGCAAAATCCATTGCCGAGCCCAGCTCAAATTAAGAGGAAGCATACATTAAATCTACCACCTGGATGTACATGCCACTGGGATTAAAAAATCACAGAAAAAATATAGGGGAAATAATTTGAATCTTCATCTTGCACATCTGAAGGGGCAATCTCCTTTATCAGAAAAGAGCCTGCATCCACACCCTGCCAAAGAGTGAACATATTTGCTATGTCAAATATGAAGGAGGAGGAGGGTAATTTACTAGGATAGGCCTTCTCTAGATGACAAAGTGGCAATGATTCCCTTTGACCATTTGAAGGTGAAACTAGAAGCACTGATGAGTGCATGTAGGCTTCCTGCAAACCTCCTCTAGATGAAAGCAGAACTGGTTCACCAGCCAGTGAGCTCCACGCCCATTGAGTACATGCAAGAGTGAGGCGCAAATGTATGAGTACATATGAACACGTACTGAACGGGTTGAGATTAGCTTGAGCTACCTCATCATTTTGTGTGTATTTATACCTCAATATACTTATTTCAATTTCAATTTTAGAACCTTCAGTCAAAAGTGGAGGAAAGGAAGCCAGGTTCTTAACAGACAAACATGAAATTAAAGTGCTTCCAGTCTTGGCCACTCTCTTCAGTAAAGGTGAGTTAATAAGAAAAGCTAAAGTTTCTTCAGAGACAACCCTGCAGCAAGCAAGCAAAAGTGGAAAATCAGAAACCAAAAACTGAAATTTCAATGTCTGAGCCCTAAATCATATGTGAGCTGGAAAAGCTTTACTCTGAAATGAAGCTTTAATTTTACTATAAAGGCAGTGGACTTGTATATTGTGACTCGCAGAGTACACTCCTGGCATTGAACGCACATAGTAGTAACACCCAGAAAATAGTCAGTGATATTCGAATGAATGTTTTAGCTGCTAAAGAAAACAGATTTGAAATTAAATTCCTATGGATACCATCACATGTTGGCATCTCAAGGCATGTCACTGTTGATATGCTTGCAAAGACAGCCTGTAGAAAACCAGAAATAAAAATTGATATGGGTGTTTCATTAGCAGTGACAAAGAGAATACTTAAACAAATATCAAATGAAAATCTCACCGACCTAACAAATTCACAAACACCTGAAAGTTATAGCATTAAATAATATGATAGATATCATGAGGAAACATTCACATATGGGACTAATAGAGCAAGAACTCGGCAATGTGATGTTATAGTGGCCAGAATACGCCTGGGATATAGACGTATCTGGCAGCTTTCTCAAACCCCAAATGTCGAGTACACCATGTGTCAACTTTGTGAAAGAGAAAATGCACTCCCTTGAACATTATATTGTAGAATGTCCCGTATTGACTGACTTTCGCCCTCCTGGGCTGAGGTATGCTGAACTCTGTAACTACTATATGAATACTGGAACACTTTATGACATATTGGACTTGTACCCTAGATTGACCATTTAATGTATCAATTATACAATGTATGTATGTGATGTAACTATATAACCTGAGCTTGTAAAAGCATCTTAATTACCTTCAGTGGTTAAGTGCTTAATTGCACACTAGTTTCTCTATCAGCTATCTCACCCTGTCAGAGTAAAAGAGACAAATGTATGTGTGTGTGTATATATATGTGTGTGTGTATATATATGTATGTATATATGTATATGTATGTATATGTGTGTGCATGTATATGTATGTGTATAAAGTATATGTGGAAGCTGATCAGAATTACATTTCACCTTTGTAAATGCACATTAATGACACTATGTAAATGACACATCAAACACTTTATGTAGGGCATACGTAAATCTGTGTATCTATGTATTTACGTATGTAAGTTAGCTTAGCATTTTAAAAGCACTATACAATCACCTTCTGTGGTTGATTGTTCAATAAATCCCTGAACTATATGTTTAACAAATCTCTCACCCTATCCATGGAGGACAGAAGAAAATGTATATACAGTATGCTGGTTAGCATTGTAAATGTGTAGCCACGTCTGTGGTAGAAAATAATAATAAAAATATAATAATAATAAAAATATAATAATAATAAAAATATAATAATAATAAAAAATGCTATCAAAGAGACACATATCAATCATAAGCTTAAGACATTGTATTAACAATGAGCACTCCCACCAATGCAATTCATTCAGGTTATTGCCAACTTACCAATGACCTCAGGTGCGGAGGCTTTTCTATAGGGAGAACACAATCTGGATCCACTATATTAAACGAACTGTCTTCACTGCTATTGACTTCAACAATTTTCAACTTTGTTCCACCTTTCTCTTGTTTATTATTACTCAAAGTATTGTCCTGTATTTTATTATTTTGATTTGGATGATGAGTATTTTCTGTCTCTTGCTTTATCAACTCTTCCACTGGAGAAGAATTTTCAGGGGTAAAATTATTTTCTTTAACTACTATTTCATGGTCAGATTTTTTTGTTCTTTCCCCTTTTATGTCCACAAAACTCTTTAATTTGTCTAGTTCCTTTTTGGCTTCTTTATTCCATGGCTCCAATTCTAATACCTGTAAATAACCAAGAATTACTCACCTTGAATATATAATACAGCTTATTCACCTTACAAAAGCACATTTTGTCAGCTTTTTATATAAACTTGCATTACAATATTATAAAACAAAGCAGTTAGGACATTTCCTGCTATTCCCTTCACTCAATATTCTACTTTACCATCAGGCCCATTAACACCTTGTTACCTTAAATCGTCATCTTGTTCACCATCAGTACTCTGTTACCTTATCTTGCTCACCATCAGTACCCTGTTACCTTAAACACTATCGTCCACTAATGACGAAGTATGGCATAAAAAATTTAGTAGCTAAATGTCCACTAATGACGAAGTATGGCATCAAAAATAAAAAAATTTGGCCTGCTTTCAGCTTGGCTGCGGGAAGGGCGCGCCGCGGTTTTGGACATTACAGTATATGCATATACTCCTGTGGGAAATTTCATTGCAAATACATTGATACCAAAATGAAAGACCTAGGACAAGAATTGAGGCAACCAAAGTGAAAAAGAGTGTACACATTGCATTGCTCTTTAGCGCTCCCGGGTAACACGCTCTCACTTTCTCTGTTTTGTGCGGGTGGTATGCCAGGCTTTCGAACTTCATATGCATTTAATCGTGTAGAGAATTCTATTGTGAACACAGATATAAAATTGAAAAACCTAGGGCAAGAATTGAGATGACAAAGTTGAAAAGAGTATACACTTTTCAGTATTACCGCACTCTCTAATGGAAGGCCGGGCGCGCCTCCCTGCTCTCTTCCCGGTAACTACGGCCTGCTTTCATCACGTCGGCGGGTGGAGCACGCCATGGTTTTTGACATTATATGCATATACTCCTGTTGGGAATTCTATTGCGAACACACTGATACGAAAATGAAAGATCTAGGACGAGAATTGAGTTGACCAAAGTGAAAAGAGTGTACACATTTTATCATTCTTGTGCGCTCCCAAGTACATGTAACTTGCTCTCACTTTCTTTCTTTGTTGCAGGTGGTAAGCCGGGCTTTTGGAGTTCGTATGTTTTTAGTCCTGTAGAGCATTCTATTGCGAACACATTGATATAAAATTGAAAAACCTAGGACGAGAATTAAGGTGACACAGTTGAAAAGAGTACACTTTTCAGTATTACCGCGCGCTCCCGTGGAAGGTCCAAAACCACCCGGGATAGTGGGATAGTGAACACACACATCCACAATTTCTCAAAGAAAATATTTAAATAAAAATACAAGAGCACCTTAGATCTTAAGTTTTACTAATGCTCCCTGAGCTAATCCTGTGCTGCTACAGTATTTTACAAAATAAATCCTCCTCATTCCACAAGAAAACATTGTGCTCAATCATCATGCTCTTGCCTTAAAAACTAATTAGTAATAAAATTTAAATAAAACTGGACGATACTTAGTCTATCTAAAATCTTGTTTGACAATATGTAAAGTTCGGTATTTTTTAAAGTTTAATTATAAAACTCATGAGATTATTTGCATACTAAAATTACCAAATAGGAATAGTTCACCTTGTGATATCCCATACTCGATGAGGCCAGCTTATTTCATACACATACCAATACACAACCATTATAAGCCATTCTTTAAATAGTTAAAACAAAAATTAACTGACCTTTTGGTAGTCTTTGATAGCCAACTCAGTCTTTCCTAGGTTAATACGTGATGTGGCACGCCGTAAATAGCCTTTTATATATCCAGCATCAAGTTTCAAACACATATTGCAATCATCTTCTGCAGCTTTGTATCTAATATGGTAACAGAAAGAATACTGTATTACAATCCTAAAATATGGCAATACATGTTACAAAATGTGAATATAAGTGTGACTGAATATCCTGCACTCACCAACCTCCTATTAATGGTTTGTCTTCAGGTATGCAGATGACCTGCTAGCACTTACTCCCTCCTAGTAACAGAGATATACAGAGAGGTGTACTTAGCTTCTCGGTGCATATACAGAGAGGGGTACTCAGCTTCTCGGTGTATACAAAGAGAGGCGTACTGTACTCACTTTCTCGGTGTATATACACCGAGAGTTTACTTTAGTCCAAATATATATTAAGGATTGTATGTTCTTGCTGGTTGGTCAGTAAGCTATTGTAGTGACCTCTTGGTAGATCAAACCATACAGTAAAATGACAAATGTATATGTTAGGAATATATGACTGAATTCAATGTAGCCAAAGCTCTAAGCATGTTTGCCATACTTGTCTTTCCCTATTCTAAAAGCATTTATGACAAATACAGTATTATATTCTATAGGATAAATTCTTAATTTTTATACTATTAGAAACACAAGAATTAATTCTGATATGGCTAGTGATTTACAGTAAGTATTATACTTATGCATACAGTACCTAAGAATAATCTCCCAAATATAATTACCTAGGTGTAATTACAGAATGAGAGCTATGCTTGTGGTATCTTGTCTTCCCAGTACTCTGTCATATGATGGTTTGAAACTACTGTACTGACGGATTTGACATCCACCACCTTCTCACTTAATTTGTCCCAACCGTCTGCCATTAAAAAGTTAACTTTTTAATGTTTTTCGACACCTTTGTTTCCTTAGTTTGAGTCTATGACCTATTTCTTGGAATTTACAGGGGTCAAGAATTCTTCTTCATAAATTTTGTTGATTCCTGTTACTATTTTGTACATGACAATCATATCATAAAATCCCATTTTTCTTCTATCTTCTAGCTTTGGTATATTTAACACCTCTTTCTTCTCCTTGTAGCTCTTTTTTCCAGTTCTGGAAGCCCTTTAGTTGCATGTCTTTGCACTTTTTCTAGTTTATTGGTGTACTTCTTGAGATATGGGCACCATGCTACTGCTGCATATTCCAATTTAGGTCTCACAAAGGTAATGAGCAATTTCTTGGAAAGTGTAGCATAGGCTCCTCACACAATGTTCTTTATGTGGTCCTGGTGACAGTTTTCCATCCAGAACCACCACTAGAAGGGAAGGTTGTGTGTAGTTTAATTCAGTGAGAGTGAGAACCCCAGGAGAGTCAGCATTTTTTTCACCAGTGCACCTTTGTTAGTACTGTATTAAAACATACAAGTACCATATGTATATCTGCAGGATTTTACACAATAATGCGTGATTACTTAGGCTGATCAGGAGGCACAACATGGTCCCAAGCAAATATGTGAGCAAGACTCCAAAGTGGCAATAAGTGTGTCTGTTGCACCATTTCAGTAGGACCAGTAAAACTGTGTATGGGGGCCAGTGGAAGGATCATGATGTGGGAGGGAAGCAGCTAGAATTCCCGGAATTCAATTTGTCCAAGTGACAGGAAGGGACAAGAGAAGAGAAATGGGCCCCTAAATGTGTGTCAAGAGGTTATTAGGGCTTGTCAAGTCTTCTGCAGCTACTGTATCTCTAATACCTACAACACAAACTTGTATAGCAAGTCCTTACCTTTACAATTAATGAAAGCAAGAGAAACTGTTAGAAAATATGGAAATAATAGCTACAGCAAGGATGCTTTGTACAGTACATAACTTCCCCCACACTTCATGGCCTGTGTGTCAAGTAACCTCTCCCCCAATACAACCACTTTCCTCATCTCTGTCCACTCATGGCATGTTTTAACTTTGCATTCTTTGCTACTACTGTATTCTGTCACCCATATTAATATTTGCTAGTGTCTAAGATTTCCAAGATGTGTTATCTTTCATTGTTATATCAATACTGCATATGCATTAATTATCCATGTTGTGCATTATAGCATTATTGCCTTCTTATATGAATCAAATCACATGAACAACTAGTCCCAAATCTTGTCAACTTGAAAACTTATTGATGACAACTGTTCAGTAGCAATAATAAGAGGCATCACTATCACGATGTGTCATTCTTAATTAGAGAAGGTAATTCAATACTTGAGAGAGAGTGACTAGGGACCACTTCCAAAGAATTACCATTTTACCCAATAATTACTAGCACTGCTGAGTTATACAAATAGATAACACCTATAGACACCAGCTAAAATAGATTCTGAAGATTTTATGTCCTGACAGCTGAGGCAGCTTTAAAAAATGCAGGTAGGGTCAACTAGTAGATGGTACTAAGAAAAGATACTGATACTGGATCAGTAAAGATTGCGAGTCAGAATGCAGCTACACAATCTGAGCATGTGTACAATAGTGAAAAGTATGAGGTAAGGAGCTCAAATGAAGGTACGAGAGGAGAACACATCTTGTAGACTTGGAAAGATACACACAAACTAGCCACACCTCTACTGTGTTTGAAAACCTGGATGTGTGGCCCTGACTCTGATGGATAAGGTTTGCCTCTCCTGTGCTTACACACAAAAATGTGTGAATAGAGACAAGGATATACTGTATATAAGTACGTTATTCATGATACCAAGAGAAATAGCTCACTTCTTTAACTTGATATATGCCATTGCTCTGTTGGCTCGAAGCACAGCATTGGTGGGATCAAGAGATATTCCTCGAGTGTACTTGGCTGCAGCATCATCCAGTCGCCCATCATTGTACAATTTGTTGCCCTGAAAATGTAACCATACTAAAAATCGGAGTGTACATAAAAAGGAACTTAATGAGCTGTTGCCCCTAAGGAAAGCCAAGATGTGTTTTATGAACAAGGAAAATAGGAACGTTCAGGTGTTTTATGAACAAGGACTATACATCCAGCTAACCAAAGGAATGAACCCACAGCACGATTATCACTCACTGCTTCTTTCAATGCTAAAGCTTTCTCCACGTTGCTACTTTTGGGTCTTATGGTTTCACCACCATGTTTACTTGATTTCCCTTTCATATTTTGTTCCTCTTCAGATGATGATGCCAGTTCTTTGTCCTAAAAAGGAAATAATTAAGTTACATTCATGTATCTTATATTAGACATTTTTTAAAAATTAAATTTTATAGCATCAAAGAGCCAATAGTGAGTCTCCAAACCCCATTAGCCTTTTCAATGACACACAGCACACATTGTTGTGCAGTCAATAGTCATTCTTTTGTCCAACTACCAGGAAAACTTGTAAATTAAATTACACGTGATCTATTATTTAATCAATATTCATTCTTCCATTCCACATCTGGAGTATTCAAAGGAACTCTTCATTTATACTACTGCATACTGTAATTACATGGTAAAAAACTTATTTTTATCTGTAAATATTTTAGAATATCTTATTATTTCCATATCATACAATTATTTTTTTCAGTAATCCATGTACAGTGAATTGTTTCTACCCTAATCTCCTCCTCTAACCTCATGCATGGCTACAATACCTGCTGAATCATCAGAATCCTTTATCTAACCCCATGCATGGCTACAGTACCTGCTAGATTACCAAAATACTTGATCACATACTTATACAAAAGTAGTTTCCTGTAATACAAATTTTGCTAGGTTATATACTGAAAAAATTTATACTGTATGTATTTCAAGCATACCACATCAAACTTGTCCCAAGCAGCATAGTCATAAGCTGATATTTTCTGTCCAGGTTTCATTTTTTTCTTTTCATTTTTTCTTCGTTTGCTATCACCAGGAATGTTTTCAGTGGCTCCTTTTCCTGACGAGATTTCTAGTTTCTTTTTACTTCGTACAGGTGGACCAGCCTAAAAAACAAAAATAGTCAAACTGTTAAAATGTACAATATACGAGATCAATGCAGTTCATGACAATCAGTAGAAACATTGTACAGTACAGTATTGTGCAAAAAATATTTATGAATTATGGAAGAATTCCATTTAAGAATTTCATGAATCTTTTAATTTATTTACAATTATAATTTGTTTTGTCAGGGGAAAGGCAGCCTGTATGCATGTATGTATGTACAATAGGCATAGTTCAAGGTCTCCCAAGGTTGAACTACTGATTTTCCCCAGGATGCAACCCCACAACAGTTGGCTAGGTGAACAGTATTAGGTGAAAGAAAACCATATCCAACCATTCCTGCCCAGCCTGGGATTTGAACTCAGGATTCCCAAATGTGAGTCGAGAACAAACCCAACAGAACAATCTACAGTTGAACCCAGGTTACGAGCATCCCTGTTAATGAGCTTTTCGGGTTACAAGCCCGATTTGTTCGGAAAATTTGCATCGGGATACGAGCAGTGCATCGGGTAACGAGTTTGTTGATACACGTACGGGGCAGACTTAGTGTGTGGTGGCACGGCGATCGTGCCTCAGTTTACCACTGTCTCTTGACCAGTGACTATCCAGCCTGAATTCTTCACAAGGATTTACAGTTTTTGTCAGATATTTGATCATTTGAGCATAAAATTTTTTATTATATATCTCGCCATGGGTCCCAAGAGCGCCAGTGGTAAGGCTCAAGGCAAGAAAACACGCGAAAATGGAAAAACAAGAGATCATTCGTAAACATGAAAATGGTACACACGTTGTTGAACTAGCTAGGTAGTACAACAAATCTTCAGGGGAGGAAGAGAAGGCAGTAGAGAATGTCCCATCCTCATTAAGAAAATGTGTGCAGTATGAGAAGGACTGCAAAGTTTTGCTGAAAAGAATCAGCCAGATAAAACTGTAGTAGGCCATTGCATTGATCTTTTTAATGACAATGTGATGCCTCACTACAGATAAGTGTTGCAAAGAAGGGAAAAACAATCTTCAATGGAACATTTCCTTGTGAGAAAAATGAGAAAATCAAGGAGTGAGCCACAACCAGGACCTAGTGATATGCAGGCAAAACGTGCCAAAGAGTGCACTCCAGAAAAATATTCACTGCCTGATGTTATAATGGAAGGGGACTCCCCTTCCAAACAGTAACACCTCTCCTCCTCCCCCCTCCTCACCATCTTCCATACGCCAACAGAAGTCATCAGCAAGGGTGAGTAATAACTTGAACATACTTTTGTAGTGTAGATTTGGATGAATTAGGTATAAAATTTGGTTTGAAGTGAAGTTTTTGGGCAGTCAGGAACGGATTAATTATTTCCCATTATTTCTTATGGGGAAATTAGCTTTGGTTTACGAGTTTTCGGGTTACGAGCCGTCTCCAGGAATGGAATAAACTCTTAAACTGAGGTACCCCTGTATATACTTTCTTGTACGTGCAGTTTGTGTGAGGGTTTTCTCCTTTCAATGACTGCTGCCAAGACCCTGTTATTACACCACCTTAGGTAAGGTATGAGAAAACTTCCTGCATATCAGGGGATTTTTATGAGTTTGCTTCCTCTAATTATATTGGAATTATATGGGCAGGTTGACCCAGATATGGTAGGTCCTAAGGGTAAATTCCTGCCAAATAGGTTAGGCCTTAAGGGTAAGGTTTGCCAAATAAGTTGAGTTCTAAGGATAACTTTTGATAGGTAGGTTAGGCCCTAAAGGTCAACTCTGTCACGTTACGGCTGGCTGAGTCAGGTTGGAAACGTGTCGAGTTACCTCGGGACTGAGGTGGCCTCTCTCCTTGGACTGGCTGGATAACTTCTCATCTTCGTTCTTAATTTCTTTCTCCCAGTCGTTCAGGTCTTTGATGAAGTCCTGAAGAGCAGCAGAGTTATCTTTGATGGACTTCTGCAGAAGTAGTGGCGATGCGCCCTCCATGTCGGACACACAAGTCCAGAAAATTCGTTCAGATCAGGACGGATCCGCCGCCGAAATGGTTTGTTTACGTCGCCAGCTGTGTCTAAGGGATGCAAGTCGCTTCGTACAGACTACGGACCGCACACATTTTTACTATTTCGGACACCAAACTAGTATGTTTCGTATAAATGTGACTCAAACACATACAAATTCAAATGTTGGCGTCAAGCCTTACTGTAGCCTCTGTTTACCCAACAGTAAAATGGGTACCCTGGTTGTTAAAGGAATTGGCGGAGTCGTATTCCGGGGAATATTAGGATTAAGGACTTGCCCGAAACGCTATGTGTGCTAGTGGCTGTACAAGAATGTAAGAATTCTTGCATAAACAAATAACAAATCATCAAAAGTTGTGAGATTTTATTCCTTTCTCGTAGCTTAACAATCTTGTTGCTAACCTTTGTATTTTTCAATTTTGGATGTTTGTATCGCACGGATTCCGTGCCGGTACAGCATATTCCAGTATGGGTCTAACAAACGTTTTGTAGATTGCCTTAAAAGAGTCTTGATTTAGGTTTATAAATGATGTCCTTATATTATCCAGCGCCCCTATGCTGCCGATGTTATCCTGTTTATGTGTGCCTCAACTGATGCTAGTGTTGGAACTATATTCATTCTCAAATCCTTCTCTCTTTCTGATTCCTGTATTTCCCTTTTAATTATGGTCTAGATGTCTTCTGGTCTTCTCTCTCTCTCTCTCTCTCTCTCTCTCTCTCTCTCTCTCTCTCTCTCTCTCTCTCTCTCTCTCTCTCTCTCTCTCTCTCTCTCTCTCTCTCTCTCTTTCCCATCTTCGTTACCTTATGTTTGTTGGGACTAAATTCCAGCAACCATTTGTTTGACTATTCCTAGAGTGTGCAGTCAAGGTCCTACTGCAGTCACCTTCTGTTTTTATATTTATCTGTAAACAATGACATGTATACGAGTTCACTCCCTTGGGTAGGTCGTGCACATAAAATAGGAACAACAGTGGTCCCAAGACACAGCCTTATGGAACTTTACTTGTTACATTCCTCCAGCTTGAAACCTCCTCTCTGTGACTCTTTGGTTTCTGTCCTTCAGGAACTCCTTTTCCAATTAATTTTTTTCCAGTTATTGCAGCCTGCCTCTTTATTTTCTACACCAATATTTCACGAGGAACAGTGCTAAATGATTTTGGACAATCTAGGAAAATAGGGTCTACCTAGCCTTGTTTTCCTGCCTTAAATATTTCATTCAAAATGATCTGCTACCAGAAATTTTAGCCAAATATACCCAGTTTGCTAACTGTAGGTAGAAACTAAGTGATTGTAACCTATCCACCGCTGCCCACTGGATGGGGGGCGGTGTGCAGGACAAACATATCAATTGTGACACTAGCTCTCCACATATGTCAGTTGCTTAATTTAGAAACTGTACTTGTGGTCGATCTCGAACCCATTGTTGATATGACAACTTATATTGAATTTTGTAACTAGCTCATCAAGATTGTAACTTGCTTAGCTAAATGAATTGTGGGGTTCAGTCCCTGAGCCCATTATGTGCTTCTGTAACCCTTTCCACTACCACCCACAAGATGGGTATGGGGTGCATAATAAATGAACTAAACTAAAAACTGTGAGATTTCTGTCTCAAACAATTATTTAAAAATTTAAATAATGGATGATAAAGTAATTCTGCAGCCTCCTTCAGCATGATGAGATTAGGTTTCCATTCACTACACAGACGTTGTCATTGACAACATGGGTGTTGTCATTCTTTGCAGGGTGCAACTATCGTTCACCATGCGGGTGTTGTCATTCCAGCTCACCCTCGTCAACAAAAGGTCATTGCTCATTCCATGCAGCCGCCAAACCCCGTTTATGACTGAAAAGAGCTTTACACACTGCGACTCATAATATTTGACAGACAGTGCTTCGCTGACGACATTTGTTCGAAATTGAAATTGAAATTGAAATAAGTTTATTGAGGTAAAATACACACAAAGAGATGAGGTAGCTCATGCTGTTCTCACCCCGTTCAGTACATCGTGTTAATACATACATAGACACACATCACAAACAATAAACATATTACCAAACATTCTGAGAGATAAACATATATATTTCCTCCTTTACACAAGTAATTTGTTAGAACCACAACGCTATAAATGCAGCCCGTCCTCCAAACAAAGACCCAAAAGTGATTCCATGCCAACACCTCTGTTTATGAATTAAAAACGGTTTACACACGACTCACAACTGATTTCGTTCAAACACTTCCGGAACAAGTGTTTCACTGACGAATTTTGTTTGAACCACAACGCTGTAAATGCTTCACTACGTACTAGATATACAAATAATCGCCAACAAAACCTAAACATCTAACCTAACGTAACCTAAGCCTATTTATGCACAGTATGTTAATAATATCTTATAATATTGATTTACATTTGAGAAAATTCCCGTTTAGAATGAACAGCATGTAAAAAAATATGAATGCGTCTGTGGGGTCGACCGCTGGATGTAACAGACTTGAGTCGAGGACGGGTTGCTATAAATGCTTCACTCACGTACTACAAATACAAATATTCCAGCCCGTCCTCCAAACAAAGATCCAAAAGTGATTCCATGCACCCGCCAAACCCCCTGTTTATGAATGAAAAGCGGTTTACACACAACTCACAACTGCTGACGTTCGAACATATCCGGAACAAGTGCTTCACTGACGAATTTTGTTCGAACCACAACGCTGTAAATGCTTCACCCACGTACTGCAAATACAATTAATCGCCAACAGAACCTAAACACCTGACCTAACCTAACCTATGCCTATATATACACAATATGCTAATATATTATAATATTAATTTATACTTGGGAAAATTCCCGTTTTGAATGAACAGCATGTTAAAATTTATGAATGCGTCTGTGGGGTTGACCGCTGAATGTAATGGACTTGAGTCGAGGATGGGTTGAAATATTCGCCAACAGAACATAAACTCCAAACCTAACCTAACCTAACCTAACCTAACCTAGCCTAACCTAGCCTAACCTTCGCCTAACTTTACATACAAATTTAATATAAAATGATATTAACTTATATATGGGAACAAACTAATGCTTAATACACAGTATGTTAAAATTAATGAATGCGTCTGGGGGAGATGGCCGTCCTTCTAAGGAGCCTGGCCTGAGGACGGATTGAGCTTGAGAGGGGCCATGTTGGTTTTGTTTTGAATAATATTCTGAGGTTGTAATCTCGGAATGCCTTTTGTACCTTGTTGGTTTTGAGACGTCATAACTTTAACAATTTCGACATTCGGATAACTAACATTTACGACATTCATATAATTTTAAAAATTACGACGTTCTCATAACTTTAATTATTTGCCTTTATCACTACAACAATTACGCAGCCCATCCTCCTGGTTAGATAGTACTTAACGATGTGTACCATCGTACATATATTGACGTAATGGACAATTAAAAAGTAGAATTTGGTACTATTGAATTTGGACAAACCGGAAGAGGTTTTGTATATATGTTGCTAATATAAACTAACCTAACCTAACCATCCTAGGTAATACACTCTATCTGAGGCCTAATATAGTATGTATGTATATATAAATATATGATATACTAGGCCTAGGAATGTTTAAGTTTGGATTTTAGCTCTATTTTTACCGGACTCTATAAAGTGAATACTACCCAAATCTACCATCTAATCGTCAATTAGATCAAAATATGTACGATGGCCCACATAGTTACAAAAAGTGCTGTATAAACAGGAGGATGGGTTACAATTATTATATTAATATTCAATTATAAGGCTTACAATTAAGGATACAATAAGGTTACAATTATAATTATACGAGGATCTTACTATTACAACAATTACGAGGATCTTAACATTACAACAATTACGAGGATCTTACCTCTACAACAGTTATGTGGCTCTTTCCACTACAACAATTATTTGGATCTTACCACTACAACAATTATTTGGATCTTACCATTACAACAATTATTTGGATCTTTCCACTACAACAATTATTTGGATCTTTCCGCTACAACAATTATTTGGATCTTTCCACTACAACAATTATGTGGATCTTATCACTACAACAATTATGTGGATCTTATCACTACAACAATTATGTGGATCTTACCACTATAACAATTATGTGGATCTTACCACTATAACAATTATATGGATCTTATCACTACAACAATTATGTGAATCTTTCCACTATAACAATTATGTGGATCTTACCACTACAACAATTATATGGATCTTTCCACTACAACAATTATGTGGATCTTACCATTACAACAATTCGAAAACGTTGCAACGGAATAGCTAATAACACAAAAGGGTATTTAATATAAGTATAGAATCCCCCAGTTGTTACTAATAGCTGTATTGGAAAAACGCAATTATATAGCTCTCAAACTTCAAGTAAACTTCAAGTCTAAAGCAATATGTGTAAATAAAATTAAATAAAAACAGCATATATATAATTTATTATTGCCAGAGATGGCTTATTTGGGAGCTACATAGATCTTGAGGCCAGTTATATTCGTTCGGCCAGTTTTGCCCGAAACGCAATGCGTATTAGTGGCTTTAGGTATTGTATGTACTAGTTCTATCTATAAATCCTACATTGTTTGTAACTCATCATTTATGTATGTATTTTTACCTGAATAAAAAAATTGAATTTGAATTTGAATTAGTTAACTGGCCAGCCTTGTTTACAAGATGGAGGAGTAGCTGTAGGCTAGAACAAAAAATAAAATAAATCGTAGATGAACAAAGGTTTGGTGGCCAGGGTGAGTGAAATGTGGCCTGTCACGACCGTAGAGTTTAAAATCACTATAGGGGTGTTTGCAAGGATCAGGTTGGGTTACCGTTACCTGCGGCAGGTGGCTGCAGGTGACGGGTCTCCCAATCCTGAACACTCCAGTTGCAAACTCTGTGAGCAGGAACTACGGCATGATCTCCCGCACTACATCACTGAATGCCTAGTTATTAGACCTTTCAGACCAGTTGGCATGAGGTACCTGGAGCTTTGCAATTACTTTATTCACTCTCGTATTCTTGAAGATATCCTCACAGTATACCCAAAATTTGCCAGTGCAGGCTATTAAACACATGGCTCTGTATGACTATCCATCCTGCGAGATGAGGACTTGTATTACCACTGCTACCTTATTCAATCTTGTGTTGTTGATATCCTCAAAATGCATCCGGAGTCTGCCAATGCAGACCACTTATCACATGCCTCTGTATGACTAACCATCCTGTGTGATGGGGATTTTTTAGCATCACCTAGTTAGCCTTTTTTGACACACTGTACTCCACTTCATATAGTCTAGGGCAGCTGCACTAATGCAGATGTACCTAATGTGTTAATAAAAAAAAAACCGTAACATCCAGTCATTGGTGATCAGACCCGTTGAAGGGACTGGACAACATGGCGACGGCGTGGGGTACGCGCAGCGTCTCTCCCGCTGACAACCAATATACCGCTGAAGATTCAAAGAAACCACCGTTGCATGGCAAGCATTCGGGTAATGATGGTCTTCCGCGTTCTGAAGAAGATAAAGAAGGCGTTTTCCTGGACAATAAAGATCAAGGTACACAGATTTGAGGAGACGCGCCGCCAGCATCGAGAGGTAAACAAGAGTCCATCCCGGCCCCACGCGGCCTGAGTACCAACATTCACCGCTCAACCCTGATAGGATAAGTTCTCTTGGTTTAAAAACCTTCGTCGTTTTCTTTGATGACAATACATCCACGGATAGCAGTGTTTTTTTTTTAATATTTCGACACAAAGTATCATACGCAATGACATTCCCAAGATGTTTAAGATCAAAGTGCACGATACAAAGAAAAGAATCCAACAAGCAAGAGAACTTGATCGCGGTGGACCACAATCACAGCGAGGAACTAGAGCTTCCTGACATGACTGACATCGTGGATACAAAGTGTGATGCTACGAACCGTTATGTTACAGGTTAACAAAATATATAATCAGACATGTGTTCTTCAATAGTAAAGAAGACATCAAAGCACAATTTCAATTAGATAATATTTCAATCTACGGAGTCAAACTATGCGTAAAACAGACGGAGAACTGAGTGATACAGGCACAACCCTACTGACCTCTATACAATACCTTCCACCTGACTGGGTTTGGATCAGCGGGTTTCTCCATAAACTAGAGGCGTACATACCGCGTCCAGCTCAGTGTTTTAGATGTAAAGAAATTAACCATACCTCGAAAAGCTGCAAAAAAAAAAAAATATGAAAATTGCTCTGGTAGCCATTATACAAAAGCATTCACATCAAACATGCTCAAATGTTCAAACTGTGATGGAAACCATGAAATAAATTCGAAACACTGTCCTTCATACATAGCAGCCTAGTCCTTCCATTAGGACTCTCCCCAACATAGACATGCCCAGCGGTAGCACAATGAAGCAACCCAACACCGTCCTTAACCAACCACCACCAATCCTCCAACAACAAACTTTACACACGCCAAATGCTTTTATCACTAACCATCCTACACCCCCTGACAACATTCCACTCCCTCAAAACTTGTAGCTAAGAGAAGATCTCGTCAAGACACTTATCACTTGTATTGAAAATGCAATAGAAAAGTCGACACTGGACCGACTCCTAACTAAATTCAACCCAACCGGGTGTTGGGTCGGGTTCCAATATAGTGCGGAACACCAATATCAAAACATCACTCACGGTATTTAAACAATTTCATCTACTCATCAAATCCAGACCTTGCTTTTATAGAATATCAATAGCAAAGCATTTCACTTTAAAAAGTTAAACCACCTTATTAAACCAAAGTTGAAACCATTAAAAAGACTTAATCTAACTTAATTTTAATCTAATAAAAGTTAATCTAACATAGAAAACGAAACTCAAACTACAAAAACAGCAACGATCAGCTGACGCCATCAACAAAACATGAGTCCTCGTCGCCAAATGCATTAGTCGTGGCACTTCCATCAACTGTAAACAGCAACAACTGAAGCGGTGCCAAATAAACACTGACGTGCCATTGTGACGCGTCTCCCAACATTAGCACTCGTACAGCCATCGAAATGAGAATCTTCACGCAAACAGTACGTACCACAAAGAGGACCGTTCAGACATGTTGGTAAGAGATCCCTAGAGCTTTGATATTGCTTTATCCACTCTCGTGTTCATGATGATATCCTCATACTCCATCAAGAGTTTACCAGCGCAGACTACTGACCACATACTCTTAGAACATCCTGCGAGATGGGGGAATATCAGCACCAGTACGCAGCTGCTCTCGACACCAACTATCTGTCTCTTCATATAATTCAGGAGGCTGTTCTCAGAGTAAAGTGATTAGACCGAGACACGACACTACACACCACCCTCTCTCACACCACCTGGGTAGTATATCCTCCTGTACAGCACCTATGTCAATTACTAATTATATAGAGAACTGTATTGTGTTTTGAGTGGCCTGTATTAAATGTGACTGTCTCTGGTGAAGTAACATTTATTTTACCCTTTTTTGGAATCTTTATCAACGAAATTTATTTTCTGTAAAATTTTTAAGAAACATCCCGAAAGCTGTACTGAATCAATTGTAGGAGCGCGGGATGGCCCAGAACATGCACTCTGTACATTCATCTATGGTTTAGTCAACTTTGGGGAAATTCTGAGCATCCTCGCCTTCTACTTGAAGACGTTTCCGGGCAGAACAATTATGGCAGGCGCCATGTGTTGAACAAGATCTGAAACTTTCACTCAGATTGAAGTCCTTTATGCTCCCCACCCCCTGTATCCTTTCTTATCACCCCATCCCAACAGGATGGGTATGGGCCTTACAATAATTAAAGTAACTGTTGAGGGAGTGAATCAAGGAGGAGCGCGCAGCAGCAGGGCGGGAGGCGGGTGTGTCAGGTCGGGCCAGCCAGGCCGCCAGTAGCCTCGCCACACTCTCTGACGGTGACACGCACCCTGCCCCGCGCTCTCACTCCCTGCGTCACTGCTTATTCCGTCACTCTTCGCCACTTATTCCAGGCATTCTTCTTCACTTAATCCTGTCACTCTTCACAACTTACTCCTGTCACTCGTCTTCACCACTTAATCCTGTCACTCTTCTTCACCACCTACACCTGTCACCAGCCTCACGAGCTGGTGATCACCCGTCACCAGTTTCCTATACTGGTAACTGCCCTCCGTCACTACCA